AGTAGGTAAAGCAACAGTAATGAGGCAAAAAAAGTTCACACATTGTGTGAACTTTTTTGCTAACATTGTGTGAACTTTTTTTGTTAACACACAAAAGGGATACAAGCATGTGATTGCAGCATTCTAACTTTAACACAAAAAGTAAAAAAATATGGCAGATGAGACCAAGAAGTGGCCAATTTTATTAGCTAGAAAGAAATCTCAGAATACATTTATACAGATTGTCTATAAATTTGGGAAGGGGGATATTTTGCACTCATTTCAACAAGATTGCATACAAAAATTTTAAGTTAAGAATTTCATTGAGAAAATGAGGCATTTTAGTGAGTGTGGTGTGACTAGTAAGAATAAATGTGATAATTTGGTGAATGGACTATTATATGTATGGATGGTGATGTAATAAATATGCATACACCTGGGTTCCCCCTCACAGTAATATGATTGGCTGGTGTCAGCCATAAATACAAACTGATGTGGAGGTACAGGATGATGCCCAGTCCATTACAGTTATCTGCTAGATTGCCTTACAGTAGTCAACAACCACTTTGCTACTTCAAACAAATATATCCTTTTCTGGGACATATCAGATGGGTCAATGAATGACACTAGCTAGTATTAAGTTAAGACTAGTGAAGACCAGCTTTCCCCATTTTGGCCTTGTGCTGCATTTGTATGTAATGTACAATAAATATGCATTTGAATATTTGAAATTGCTCACAACTTTAAGTTGTTTTGATTGGACAGAAATTTAAACTAAATTTATATTAAGTGAATGTAATGTGGCAACTTGAAATTTTTACTCAAATAAGATAGGAAAAATATAATTTAAAATATATATCTTAGGGCCTAAAACAAGTATTTATAAAATTTGCAATACTTAAGTGTTATACTAATTTGAATAAATGTTTTGTAAACTTGGATTTTCATGCCCACAAGAAAATGGTGTGTCAAAAGGAGGTTTTTCCCTTGGCACTGCTCTTATTTTAACTACCTTCACTCCTTGGTCATGTTTATTGTTTTAAAAAGCGATGAGTAGAATTTGAATAAAAGCTAAACATATGAAAGTGAATTTATACATTTTCTTTGTTCTTGAGAAAGCAAAAATATTAAACACTATTTACTTATTAGATTGTTCATTTACACTATTATGTTGTTTATTGGAATGGTTGGCAAAACATTGGCTAATTGCCAATTGATTCAAACTTTATAAAATAGTAAATAATAAGGATTTCATTATAATTGGTTCACATATTTTTATAATTTAGTAAATGTTTATAAATTTATGAATAAAAATTGTTTTAATATTTATTTCTTTATAAATTGGTAAATGATAAATATTGCATTGCATTAATTTTTAAAATGTTGTGAATATAAAACTTTTCTTGTAAATAAACAATCTAATAAATAAATAGTGTTTAACATTTTTGTTATAAATTCTCAAGAACAAAAAATGTATAAATTCACTTTCATCATATGTTTAAGTTTTATTCCAATTTTAATTGCCTCTTTTTAAAGCAATAAACATTGCTTGCCGAGAATGGAAAGTAGTTAAAATAATAGCAGTGTCAATGGAAAAACTGTCCCTTTGACACTCCAAGGTTTTTTTTGCAGGGACAAAAGTCCAAGTTTGCAAAATGTTTTATTTTCTTTGAAAAACTGGATGCATGTATATGCAAGTCCTAAAACGATTTAAACTTAAAAAAAGAATGAACATATTCATCTTATATAATTTTGTCAAGTTTAAACCTTATTATTCTTTTTAAAAAATTACTCTTTTCTAATATTATAGCAAAGGAATACAATATTGATTTTGGCGCATATGTTTTCTACTGTCTAAACATGATAGGGATGTTAAAAATCTGTTTTTTCTATCATGTATATATAGAAAAATATCCTGCATAATCTTTTGTAAGATCTCTATGCAAAATTTACATGTTAGCATAGACAAATATTTACTGAGTCCCTAAGGGTCATAAGGGCTATATCTAGCTCTATTAGCATTATATCATGTTCTCATCATTTAAGATATGTTTCAATTGTATTGTTCTAATTAGAATATTCACTGTTTTATTTAAGATAAAAAAAAAATATTTGGGTTTGTGGAGGGGTGGTGGGGGGGTGAACATTTGCCCTTGTAAAAATATTCAATTCATTCACAAAGAAAAGGAAATAAAAAGAAAGCTGATAAAGGGTAAATCAAAAAATTTTATATTCCAAAAATTGTTGATATGATTTTACAAAAATTGTTTCTTTTTTTATAGTCTAGTTTCTTCTTATGAATACAGTTTTCATATGACAGGAAAAAGAGTAGATGCAGGAAATTTTCTTAATGACTCCTCTTACTAATTCAACAGACTTTTACTCAGACTGGTTACTTAATATTTTGTCTTTTCATTTATATCTGACATGCAGACATAGTATAAAATACAATACACACAGATATTTAACAAAAAAAAAAAATGCTGGGCTCTATTCTAAAGTGTTCTTACTTGAAATGTATAAAATTTGGCCTCATAAAAAAATTGAACTCTTCACAAAGAAAAAGGAAAGGAAAAAAAAGCAGATGAAGTGCAAACACAACATTTTTATATTCCAGAAATTTTTGAGTTGTTTTATAAAAATTGTTTGCTTTTTTATTTTTCATATTGTGGCGGACTTCACCACATTAATTTAACTTTAGATTGGGAAACAAAGCTCACGCAAAAAAGGATAACCAAAAGACATTGTTACACATAAAATATGAAATATGTATTTAACAAGATGTACAATATCAAACAACGATGTGAAGCAAAGCATGCATTTAAGTAAGAAAAGGTTGAATTAACCAAGAGTTGTCTCTCTTTATCTGTTATTTTAGTGTTCAATGAGAAATAGTCATTTGGTTCAAAGTTCACTGGAAGAATGTTCATGAGTCTCTTGTAATGATTGTTCTTAAAAGATATTGCTGTGTAAGAAGAGTTTATGTGAGTGTGTACAAGGTATGTTCAGCATGTGAGTGGTGTATATGAGTGAGAAAGTTAGCACATGGTTTCAACTGTCATGGATTTGTTTGGCAGTTGAGTTCTCACTAACTGGGATAAGAAAAATCTTGGCTTAAATAAGCGACTATAGGCTCCAAATCATTGTGTGGGAAAAATTATTCTTCACGTGCAAACGATCTGATTGGTTGGCATCGACCAATCAGCAAGTGAGCTTTGGGGAGACTTAAGAAAGCCTCTGTGATCCACTTCTCCCAAAATTGACTACTTAAAAATAGAGTGATTACAAAATTGTCGCATTACTGCGATTTGTAAATTGCCTGTAGTAATGTAGTGGTGATTTATTCACCAATGAATGCCCAGCATTGTATGTGACTTGTATTTTTGTATGTATGTATGTTTGGTGTAACAGATCCACACAATATCTTTTTAAATTTTTTATTTTTTTATAATTTTCATACAACAGGAAATAGACTTGACACAAGATTTCTTAATGACTTCACTTCCTACTTTAATTTAGACTTTTACTCTGACTGCAAACTCTATTTCTTACTGTTACTCAGACTCGCACTCTCTACTTAATATGTTTTCATTTTATTTATACTTGATGTGACATTTGGACAAAATAGTAGAATGTAAACGAATATTTAACAGAAAATACTCAGTTCTTTTCAAATGTGTTTTACTTGAAGTATATAAAATTTTTACAGCTTAATCACTATACATGTTTAAAAGCTGAAACTGCAGATTAATAATTTTCTATATGTTTTAAATACTGTGTAACTTTTATCTTTCTCTGTTTATTAAATTTTATTTAAAGTTGGTATCTACTTAGTATGGATATTAATAATTTTTAATAAAACAAATTGAAACTGATTAAATAATAGAATATATCCACATAATGTGTCCAATATAATTTGAATTTGTGTAATTTATATATTTTAGCAAATCTTAATTTACATAGATTTTTAAAGTTTTTCTTCACAAACAATAATTCCCCACCTAAAAGCAGAGATGTATAGCAATAATAACAAGCAGACTTATAATATCATAATCATTGTCTTTCTTCCATGTGACTTTCTTCTCTTTTAAAGATTGTTTTTTGTTTTTGTTTTGGATCAACAGTACCAGTACTGATTAATTAACAGACTATGTTCTAATAATGTGTCTGCTATAATTTGCATCTGTCTAATTTGTTCATTTTACCAACTCTTAATTTATATAAATTTTTAAAGTTTTCCTTCACAAGCAATACAGGTTCATACAGTAAAAATGCTTTAAACAAAGTTAATGAATATCCATAAATACATGACATTACAGCTTTGTTTTTTTGTTCCTGTTTTCAGAACCAAACGCAAATTAAGTCAGTAATCAACTTTATGCAAATTGTAATTTTTCATGAAGTAAAATGTGGTATACAGCTGTAAATTTAAAGTAAAGAATCCCAAATAGTTATGAACAGTTTGGAACATTAAAAATAAAACTGTTGCTTTTTAAAGTAATGAAACAGTTTGTTTTTTTTTTTACACTTCTGGCTGACTTTACAGCTAACAACAATATCAATGGGTACAATTATGATGAATCATTTCACTATGCAATAAAAAAAATAATGAGCATTTAGAAAAAAAAATCATCATTCGAGAAAAATATCAACCTTAGTAACTTAACCACCATCTGATACTGAAAAGTTCTCAATCCGACCAAGAAGAGTTAAAAAAAAAATTTAATGTTTGGTCATTTTCTCAGATTTTGTGAAGTGGGCCTGGCCGAGAACTTTTCAGCATCCCCTGGTACTAACATGTATGCACTTGGAGGGTGTGGAGGGAGGGGGTAAAGTAAGTACTTCCACTAAAAAGCGTTTTTGAGTACATAAAATCTATAAAAAAGAAATAAAAATTAAAAGGATGCCATGCTTATTATATACATTAATTTTATAACTAAGGAAAATAAACAGAAAATTTTGTAAAAAAAGAAAATAATACACAAGGATGAACATAAAAAAATGTAAAAGAAAAATATAGAATGAGACGAAATCCTCAGACGCCAGGAACTCGCATTCTGATTGGCCGAAGCGAGATTCTGCGCACAGCTCACTTAGAGCCCCCCCTCCTTTCTCTTTCAGTCTACTTTTCATGTTAGCTGGTTGTCAGTTGACTGCTTGAGCCACTAGCATCTTTTGCTGATTATCCACAGGAGAAAACTTTTTTTTCCCCGATTCCACACAGCACATTTAACGGTGAGATATATATTGTTTTTTTAGCTTATGCTCGACCCCTAGCTTATGCTAAATAGGCATTCGTTTGCTAAAAGCGGTTATTTTCCTGTAATCGTCTTTAAAAATGCCGGTCGACGCCGCCGTCACGTTCTGAAGTCGCCGCCCGGCCATCTTGAATTTTGGGTGTGTTATTGAAAAAATTTTCACGGTGTTATACGCGTTTTCTTTTTTTACATCTTTCAGAAAGGATTCATCGTCCGGAAACGATCTCCCCGTATTTGTACCGATCGCATTATTCGTTTGTACTTGGTTTACATTTATTTACTCTTTAGTGATTTTTTTTTTCTCCTTGGTAAAAATATTTTAGAAAAGTGAGGAAAGCACTTCGCCGGCTACACCTACGGTGCTTCTACTTTAATCAAATACGTCTAGTAGTAGTTTCACTTCTTTTTTTCCTCTCGCAACCATTATTCGTTAATTTACAGTAAATTCATTTGGAAGGAAGCATTGTGATTTTTTTTTTCTTTTCAAATTATCATCTGTTTTAAATTTGTAATATGAAATCATCCGTTCAAAAACTCTCTCAAAAATCCTAATTTTATTTCGAATCGTATCCGTGATTTTAGTCTAAAAATCGTTTTCATAGTTCAGTCTTATTTGATACGGAAGTAATTTTCACCTTGAATTAGATTTTCCTAATTATCTTGATCTGGAAATAATTATAATGAAACGTTTCCTGTATATAGTTACATGCAGATTATCGTTGGCTGAAAATGTAATTTATTTTAAGTTACTTTATATATAATTAAAATACGATTCCCTAAACTTGGATTAGGATTGCAGATTAAATGTAAAAACAGACAAACCTTTTTTTTTTTTTTTTCTTCTTCTTATGAAGCAAAATGAACGCTTCGGTTTTGTTGAAATGAAATCTGATTTTGAAATCCATCCAAAAGCAACTATATAGATGTCTTGGGCAAAATTCCCATTCAATTGTCTTTTAAAATAATGAAATTTTTTTTCTACGCTCTTCTAAAAAAAAAAAAAATTTTTTTTTTTTTTTTTTTTTTTTTTAGGATTTTCGATTGAAAAATTTGCGATGGTTGATCGACGTAAACTACAATGATGTCATTTAGGTTGTTCTAGATAAACTCTTGAATTTAAAAACAATTAGCAATATAACTAAAACAAATATGTAAATTAGTAAGTTGGTATAATAATTATTTTTCTTAAATATGAACTGATCCTCGTTGCTTTAAGCCGGAATATAATTCTTAATTAGCGGGTAAAATACATGTGAAAAAAAAAAGATTGCTAATTTAACAAAGGGAAAATTTAGTTTTAGTTTCTTTTTTGTTCATGTATATATATATAAATTTTTTTTTTTTTTTTTTTAACTTTCTCGTGTTTGTAAAATGGCCGTTATTTGCTTGCTCATATTTGATCATGATTTTACTTTCAATTTAAAAAACCAATTTTGATATTTAGTTTTAAAGATTTATTCTGAGTACTATTTGTAATAAACTAATGTTTAAATGAAAAAAAATTTACTTGTAGCTACAAACATGTCTTCTGACGAAGCTAATGATGATATGCTCATAAAGGATGATGTAGAAGAGACAAATCAAGCAGACATGGATACTAGTCAACAGAATGATGTTGATGCTGAGCCTAGCCAGCAAGATGGAGAAACCCCTATGGAGGAGACTGCTGAAGGTTAGTATGAATTTATTTTACTCTACTCAAAATAAAAAAAAAATAAAAAATAGTCGGTGGGGGGGATTCGATTATAAATTCAGTAAGTAATGTATAAATATTTTTTTTTAAACTTTTAACATGTCCTGCTTTTTGTAATGCAAATTAGAATTATGAAAAGTGCTTCTAAATTTGAAGCACCTGAAGGCTTTTGATCAGTACAATATTTTTGTTAAATTTATACTAAATTACACTCGTCAAAAGATTTTTTTCTCTTGGAATATTTCTGCAAAAGAATTAGCGAAAATTGGAAAAAAATTATTTCCATATGTTTACTAGATTTCTAGAACTGTAAACTATGCTGATACTTCATTAAAATATATAGTGAGGACTCTGTGTGTGTGTGTAATATATATATATATATATATATATATATATATATATATATATATATATATATATATATATATATATATATGTATGTATATGTGTATATTTGTCATGTAATTTTATTACAATTATCTCCCTTTTTACATAAATTAGCTAAAAACCTCAGGCTGTCAATAAATGTCAACACCTCATAAAAACGTGCATGTTAAAAAAATGCTTTTCTGTGATATTTTTAAACACATTTTTCAATATTTGTTTCAGTTCAGATTAATTAAAACTTAAATCAGCAAATTTTTGTCAAATAGCATTCAAGAAAGCTAAATTTTATTTTTGAAAAATTTTCTTGAATTGTATTAACAGATTTATTAGTATGAACGAGTTTTATCAATCTTACTGGTAATCTGGGGGGAAAAAAAGCCTAATTTGATTTGTAGGTATTTCGATTAGAGAGATTTAAAGCTTTTTAAAACATGTCTTTCACAATAGCTTGAATAATTTGTAATTGAGGTCTACCAGGAAATTTACGTAACTTCTGTGTTAAGAATCATTTTTAAAAGTAGCTTTTATTTGTGAAAAAATTCAGTAAGGGTTATCGACATTCATAATACTTCTAAGTTTTAAATATTCTCATTGTTCAAATAAAATTGATTATTGTGCATAATAAATCTAAAGAATTTTTTTTTTTTCTTTTTTGTAGGAAAAGAGGAAAATAAAGAAGAAAAAGAAGAAAAGAAGGATGAAGAAGATGAAAACACCTTAAATCTGAGTGGGTATTTCCTTTTATTTACCATGTTATTTTTTCTTTGTTTTAAAATTTTAAAGGGTAAAATGTCTTTACATTTTTAAATATTGGATTCTTATTTATAGAACTAATAGATGCAGAGTATTTATAATGAATCAGAATAACTATTCAGTAGATGTTTACATAAATTATCAATGTTCTAATGTTGGATCATTAATGGCACTACATCATCTTAATTTAATGAATGAGAATTGTTTTCATTCTTAGGGAGACCATATCCCAATCTGTTGACAATTTCTCGACTCCGATTGGAAGATATAAAGATTGCTGTGTCAGAGCTCTCTCAATTTTGGGATGATACCACATGTTTGACAATCCGTTATATAAAAGAAAAAACTGGAAATAGAAAAGGGTAAGTATGATCAAAAATATTTTCTCCCTTGCTATTATCTTGTGCATAAGACTATAGTTAGAAATAAAACTGCCTAATTGTTTATATTGGCAAATGCCTTGAAATTTTCTTATTTCATAAGACCTATAAATATAAAAGACTTTTAGATTGTATACTTGCATTTTATCAAATTATAATCAGTTATTTTGATTTCAATTATAAGGTTAAATAGTAACATAATTGGATGAAGGATAGGTTTTTTTTCTTTAAGATTTGAGCAATTTAAAAATTTAAATGTTCTCTTCACGTTAAGATTTTGTTTTTAAATATTAACATTCGAGTGCTGTGGAAAATGTTTATTTCTTCAGTTTAAATCCTCTAATATTTTAAAATTGTAATATTGGTTTTAATTTGAATTAAAATTATCTTTTTCTATTAAAACTTGGAAAAAATTTTGCCATTTATACATTTGTAAAATAACTGTTTTAATTTAAATTTTTGTAATGAATATTAACACCCTTTAAGAAATTTAGTCTCTGCTTATGTTTGTTTCATATACCGGAAGTTTTTAATCAAAGGACATTGAATTAAAAATATTCTATATAGAGGCGATGTTTAATTCATGGCAAATTATTCCTTTCTAAAGTTATTCCATATCGAAGATGACTGACTGTATGTCATAAAGAATAGTTGTTAAAAATATAATCACATAATCTGAATGTGAACAATAGAAATTTTTTTTTTTTTTTTTCCTTAGATTCATGAGAATGAAGTTTGCCTCTGAGGCTGAGGCTGAAGTTGTATTCAACAAATTGCCCAAAGAAATAAATGGTAAACCTTTTGTACGGGATCCAACAGAAGGTAGGTGATTTGCAGTTTGGCTTTAAATTCACATTAAGTCAGTCTTGTTTTACAGTATTTACAGTTGTAAATTTATCAAGTATTTTGTATTTAGAAGTTAAAATTGCTAATCATTTTTTTAGTATCACTTCATATTTTGCAGAATTATGTTCTTCAGTAAACAAGTAGATCTGAACAATTTTTGTGCGTTTTTAAAGTTTTAGCTTGATATATCTCCAGTGGTTGAATATTCTTAGATTTTACGAAGTAGATTAATCCTAATTATTTAATTATTCGTTAACATATGTCAGAAGCAATTCAATCACACTTCTAAATAGCTATAGCGGTTTTACGATTACACTTATGCATTTTTCTTCTAGGTAAAGATGGCAAGGATGGTGATGGAAAAGGTATGACATCACTTCCTTTTTCTTTTTTTATTTCACAAATAACTAAGATTTTAGAATATATTCTTAGCTCCTTAACTGTGCTATGCATGACTGTTAAACAGTTACATTTTGGGTGTTTTCTAATTTGTCTAAAGCTCTATGGTTTTCTTGCTTATTCATGCTTTTTTTTTTTTTTTTTTAAATATATATATATAATATACATACAATGTTAAATTTTAGTTTGAAGCAAATCTTTATGTAATTGAATGATCTGGCTTTATATTATGCTACAGTTAATTCTATACCTCCCATAATCTTGGGTAAATTTCTCAACACTGTATATATTGGTATTTATAGTTAGTCAATACTTTCCCAAATATCTTAATACTAGTTTTTGTTTAAATCCATCAGCAATTATATTTCAATGTACTAAAATCTTTCTTAAAAATATTTAAGGATTCCTAAATCAAATGTACCCCTTTTCACAAAAGGGAGCTCAAGAGATATGCTCTCTTGAAAATGTGGAGAATACGTCTATTGTGTTGAAACTAACTTTTTTTTTTTCTCTCTCTCTCACACACACCTGAATACAACACTAGGATTTAAAATTTTGAAGCATGTTAGCATCATAGTATTATATATCTTTTCAGATTTTTGAAATAACCCAATATATTCTATGTTTACAAATGTAGAATAAATATTATTTAAATTGGGTACAAAAACAATTTAATAAAACTCCTTTTTAACTAAAATAGGTTTCTTTCATGCTTTGGGGGATGTTAGTAAAATCTTAATATGTACAATGAGTTTTGATTAAGCAACAAATATAACAAATGCCTTTTTGTTAGTGTTTTCTTTGCATTAGCTATTTGTATATAATATATTCAGTATATTTTTGTATAGATACAGACAATAGTTTAAGTAATTTAAAGTGATGCTTTATTCCCACATTTGAATCTAAAAATTTTAGCAGCTCATATTTTTGGCAAAATGCTGTTTTGTTTGATATTAGTTACATTTTTGCTTTAATTCAGAATCATTGTTTGCATTCTTGTTTTTAATGTTTTTCATTTCAGAGCATGTTAAAGGAAAATTCCATTTGATATTTATAGCTAATCTTTAATACATTAAATCTTAATGTTGGTATCTGTTTTTCTTTTTTTTTTCTTTTTTTTTTTTTAACAAAAACTGGAAAAAATATTGATTCACCAACCAATTTATATTCCTTACAAAACTCACATATTTTAAGCTTGTTAAAAAAAACTCAAATCTCTTTTTTTTTTTTTTTTTTTTTTTTTTTTTTCCCCCCCACCTTTATACAAAAGGTTACTTTAATGTGGGATAAGCAAAGGGAAAATATTTTTTTCTACTTTTTTAAAAAAAATTTTAATTTTTTTAAATTTTTTTTTTTTAAATTTTTTTTTTTTTTTTGTTTTCCTTTTTTTTTTTTTCTTTCCTTTTTGCATTGTGGTAGAAGTCTTTGCCTGCCTCATATGCATTGTATTAGATATTGTAAGCAACTCCTGAATTTTTCCTCCTTCTACAGAAATCTGATTTTCTGAAAGAAGTGGGAAATACAGGTGTATCTTTTGAACTTCTGGTACATAACTTAAGTATTTGACACTGTTTTGTACACTATACTGTGAAAGAAAGGAATGGGTGGTGTTGAAATTGGTCAAATGAATCCTTCTCTTGCTTAGAAATTTTAATATTTAAAATTTTTAATTGCTTGGGTTTAATAATGCTTAAAAATTTCAAACTTTTTGTCTCTTCCTGGTTGTGATACCAATGTGACTGGCCAGTTTTAACTTATATTAAAAATATCTGGCATGATTGCTTAGAAAAATGCTTTAAAATAGTGTTTCAATATAGTTCTCATATACTGGCTACTATAGAAGGAAGATTATTTTAAATTATCCCTCCATTGATAAGCAAGGGAAGGTTTTCATCTGCTGGCCAACTAATTCCAGTTTTTGATCAATTGATACCACTGATGGTGTCTTCTGTCTTTGATGACTGGAAGCTCCTTTTCATGACAATTTACTGTTTTCAAACAGTTATTATTAGTGTTTCAGTTGTTAACTGTAGCAGGTGTCATGTAGCCATGTGCTTCTCCACCTGTTGTTGTTTGTGCATCCTCATTTATCTGTTGATGAAGACTGTCTCCCAATCGTAAGCACCTGACAATTTCAGGGAACAAGGAAGACTATTCCCTGTATGTCAACAACATTCCACAAGGAGTCACAGTCGAGGAGGTTCAGGCGTTATTCCCGTCAGCCCGGAATGTGGTGATCCCACTTAATGAGGAAGATCAGAATCAGGGGTAAATTGTCAACCTTGCGCATTTACTTTTGTTTGTTGGTGCAGTTTTTCTATTGCTGTACCAACTATTCCATAATTGTTGTGGCTATTTATGTCACCTAAGACAAGTTGAGTTGTTTTATGCTGCTACTGCTGCTACTCTGTGCTTAAGTATAGAATTACAATTCAATTTGTTTTCCTCTGCAGTATCTGACATTAATATATAGGGTCAAATTTTAGTATACACTAGATTAGATAATTTCTATTGCACCTATTGTAATTGTAAGGTTTCACATTGCACCTATACTCATTAATGACTCTGGGTAATCAGTTGCATGTTCTTTCATCAAATTACCTTTTCTGTACATTTTAAAAAGGTGTCGATAGAATGTAATGATTTGACTATTGTATTATAATGAACAAAGGTTTTTCTGTTAAATGTTTTTAAAATGTAATCTTTATTGACATTATTTTGCTAGTTTTTGTTAGCTAATCTTTATGTATGGGGATTTAATTATCATTCTTTAGGTCATATCTGAAATGTCTTGTTTAAAACAATTTATAACTAATTTAATTATTTTTATACATCTTGATAATTTTGAGCTTATATTCTAATAATTGCAAAAGGACACTGAGAAATTATTAATCCAGCTCCCCTTACAATTTGTGATTTTCTGTTTTATAAAATTGAAAGTAGCTTATCTCTTAATTATTTAAAATTTAATTTTCATATTTTATATGCACAGATTCAGATTGTTTCAACTTTAAAAACATATTTTTTTAAAAAATTTAACAAATTCAGATTCTTATAGTTACATTATATATATCATAGAGTGGCTCATGTCTTTTTTTTTTTTTTTTTTTTTCTTGTTGAAATGTTAAGATTTTTGGTCTATAAATTTTAAATTTGTAATATTGTATGCCTCTTACATTTTTAAATACTAGTAAAGATGCTATCTAATTTAACTGATCATGTCAACCATTTCCCTAAGCATTTCAGAATTTAAAGATGAAGCATAAAAGTAACTTTTTTTTTTTTTTTTCTTTTTTTTTTTCTTGGAGATTTTTAAAAATGTTTAAGAATATTGTAAAATGTACTTGTAAGGTGAAGATCTGTATCAGATTTTAGACTGAATGATAGTTGTATTTAAAGATTTTGTTCACAATCATTGACTTTCTGTATTTGTTTATAATTTAAACTAAAAAAAAAAAAATAGGTATGCTTCCAAATTTAATGTTTTTTTTTCCCTCCCTTAAAAATGTTCATGTAGGTATGCAATTGTGGAGTGCCACTCTCTTCAAGATGCTGAAACTATTATTTCTGAAAATAAGGAGCTTAAGCTGAAGGAAAACGTTTTGACATTTGATCTGATCTCTCATACTGCTAAAGATGATGGTAAGTCACTTTGTAAATATTTTAAGCTATATGAATTCTGGTAATTATTTAATGCATTGAGATTAAAATGAGTTTATCAAGTTACCAGCTTTAAAGCAGTTCAAAAAAAAAATGTTGGTCTGAATTCATGTAATTTCACTTGATAAAATTATCCTTTGAACATTATCAATGAGTTTAACATGAAGTGATTATATTTAACATGAAGTGATTATATTTAATACCAGATGATTTGCTGTAACTATAAAATTTGATCTTGATGGAATATGTCTTGAAGTTCAGTAAATTTAGCTTTTTAAGAAAGCAAATCTTAAGGTTCAACTACTCTTATAGAATTTTACAAGTAAATCTTGTTCATGGTGAAAAAAATCTTATATCGCTGCTTTTTAGATTTTTTTTTTTTTTTTTTTTTTTTTTTTATAAAAATTTCAATATTTTGGAAGATGGTGCACAAATCTTCAAATTTGCTTTATTTTTTATATGTATTGCCTAATGTTTTTGTAGATGATAAGAAGTCTAGAAAATCTCAAAACAATCAACAGAACAAAAAAGGACGCTTCTCAAATTTCCAAAATCGTCGCAATCAACAAGTCAACAAAAAAGGTAAATAAATTATTTGCTAAATTGGTTTTCTCATTGTTGCAAGCTTTTTTTCCTCTCTCTCTCTCTCTAATTGATTTAATTCTGAATTTTAATTTATGGCCTATTCTAAAGTGATAATGTAATGTGTTTTTTACAAATTATCATTAACTGTTCTTTTAGCTTAAACTCTAAATATTGGATTTTGTTAAGCTGAATATCACTAAATTATGGATTTTAACTTTTTACATAATTTTTAAATATTAAAATACTTAAATTACTTAGGGAAAAGGCAACAGCAAATGCAACAAATGCAGCAGAGAAAACAGCGATGGTCACCAGATCGGCGACAACAAGGACGGAGAGGTGTAAGTTATTTTACATTGTACTCTTCCTTCTGTATAATAAATGCGAATGTCGGTGTATCACTGTTACACTTTTCAACTTTGCTCCTAAAGGCCAGAGCCCAATGTATCGTGCCGTTCTGGGATCAGGCCGACTGAGCAAATTAAAAACATCTCAGCCCAATCTGGACCTGCAATCCTGAAATTTTGGTTTCCCAGTGGATTGCCTTTTTTTTTTTTTTTTTTTTTTTTTTTCTCCCTCAAAAAATTGAGTCACCCATGAAATAAAAAAATTAGTTGTTTGTATGGGAAGTAAGGACCAATGGACATCAAATTAGTTGGTGGTAGTACTTTTAAAAGGTAAACTTGAATATTAATGCAATATTTAAATTTAGTGGCCAATTTTGAGTTCTTCTGGAGTTTGTCTGCCACATACGATAGCAGCATGCCTTTCAAACAGAATCACATCAAGGAAGGGAAGTCCAATTTAAATGAAAATCCAGCAAGAGCTTCCAATACTGAGGATATGCAAAGTCTTGCAAACTCCAGACTAAGCAACCCATTATGGCATGAAATAACTGACAGTTTGGTAGATCAATCTGCTACTGTCATGACATTGTATCTTGAGTATTTAAGCTGGAAGTTGGCGAACTGTTGAATCTCATGAGGAAAGAAGTTTTTGGAGCAGTCAGGGCTCACATGTGCACTATTGAGTGGCAGAAAAGAGGACTGGTTTAGTTCAAGGAGAAAATCAATCCAAATCGAATTGATGCTATCATCACTGCTGAGCTACCACATCCCACCGAAGATCCAGTCCTTTTTTAAATCAAAAAAACTAAAATGATTCATGGCCTATGGTTCTCTCAACCTTGATTCTCCTTGCATGGTTGGCAAGTGCAGCAAGGACTTTCCAAAACAGTTTACCAAATAGATACTCTTGTCTGAACTTGATGGCTATACCAAAGAAAGCCAGAAGATGGAGGTTGTACTTTCACTCTGAATAAAAGAGGACAAGAAATTGTCATTGACAATCTGTAGTTTGTTCCTTTTTTGCCCACTGCAACAGCATCAAGTCAATCAAATATTAATGTAAGTACATCAAGTGACCAAGCGTTATTTGCTCTGGGAAATCTAAATGAAGTTTCTAATGGGCCACTACATCTCTTCCAATGAGGCTGCCTGGAGGATCTTTAGCTTTTCAATTTATGACCAAAGTCTTTCAGTTCAGCACCTGTCAGTTCACTTAGAAAATGGACAAAAACTTCACAGAAGGAAATGCAACAGAACTGGCCAAAAACAATCCTGTACTCTAAAATTTACAAATACTACACCTATAAGGCTGTAAAATTTCAGAAGAAAGGAAGGAGCACCTCCTCCAACTGAACCTGGAATCAAAATGGAAGATGTACTTGGAAAAGTGTATACAGTCCATCCAAGAAATTCAGACTGTTGCTTCATCACATAAGGGGCCCAACATCCTTCCAAGACTTGAGAACAATTGGAGTTGTGAAAGAGACTTAGATAAGCATGTATCAAGCTTGGCCTTACAGAAGATGATCATTATTGGGATATGACTCGGATCTGTTTGCAGTAATGAATGAACTTTCCAACCCATTTACTCTTTGGGGAAAAATATCAGGAGGCTCTGTGAGGATATTCTTGCTCATCCAGGATTATAATTGAATCCACAGATTGCAAATTTAGTCTTCTGTGAAATTGAAGAGTGATGAACTTGGCTCAAAGAGATCTCAGCAATTTTGGTCTGCCAAACAGAAACTGATAAATCAATAGAAAAATTGAGAGAAACAGGATACAACATGTAAGAACTGCAGCAAATGTATCAGAAGGTCATTGGGGACATCAGCAACAACAATGGATGGATTTTCTTCTTGAATGCACCTGGAAATGCTGGTAAAACTTTTGCAACTAACCTTTTATCTGCAGTGAAACTCCAAAGAAAAATGGCTCTAGCAGTAGCATTATTGAATTGCTATCTTTTTGCCTGGATGGTGTACAACACACTTCACCTTCAAACTTGCATTGGATTTGACGTAAAATGAAACCCCTATTTGCAACATCAAGAAAAGAACTTGGTTAAGCTACTGGAGGAGTCTAGCTTCATTGTCTGGAATGAATGTACCATGGCACACAAGTGAGCATTTGAGGTCCTGGACAACACACTCCAAGACAGAATTCACAAATCATGGGCAGTATCACTGTGCTATTCTCTGGTGATTTTAGACAAACTTTACCAGTCATTGGAAGAGGAACTCTAGCTGATGTAAGAATTTTTCAGAAAAGCATTGATTTCATCTGGAGCCATATTCGGAAACACAGTCTGAAAACACATAAATTAGGATCACAGCTGACCTTGAAGCAGGAAGATTTGCTGCTTTGTTGTTGGAGCTTCCAGAAGCTTCAGTCAGCTATTCAATCAGTAAGTCCTAAGGACAATGATTGACAATAAATGGGATTCATTTGATGCAACCCTGCTTACTATGTTGGTTGTTCAAGAGTTGAGATTGGAAATCAGCTATTTGTACTGACCTTGAATGGGAAGACCAAAAATATTTATGATGCAGCTTTGCAATAAGTTTCAAATAGACAAATATCATTGTTTTGATGAAAAGTGTTGTTTGAAAAATATTGTTCAAGCTTAATAAAATTTAATATGTACTCAATGCATGAAGTATCATTGTTGGGCCAAAGGCCTAATCAAGAGCCCTCTGCAGGAGCTAGCTTAATTGCCACCTGATAGGGGGGCCTTTTAGCTAGTTATCAATATTTGTTACTAGCACTTATTCTGAATAACTTTAAGTTGCTTGGTAAGCGCTGTTGTAATTTTTGGGCATAACTTTTCTGCATAAAGTGAGGATACTTGAATTTGTTTGCTTGCTTTAACTGCCATGAAGTACTGTATTTGAGAGTATTAAGACACCCTTGCTACATTCACTCCCTCCTCTCTCTGCAAATCTTGCAGGTAATATGTAAAAGTGGTGTATTGTTGGCAAAGGTTGAATCGGGTGCTGAGGACTGCTAAGCTTGTGCCTGGCCTGATTTCATGTCTAATGTAATTTGGTGGGTTGGATTTTGTATGCCAACAAGTACTGTATATATTATCCAGAATTGTGACCATTTTATAAACTTTGTTAGTGTTTTAGGATTCTGGAATTTACTTGGAATTTTAATATCTTGGCTTTCTCCATTCTTAATCACATTTTTGCAGTTAGTATCATAACATAATTTAGATATAGCAAGTATTTATCACTTGCCCATTTTATTCAAAGGAGGTATGTTAAATGTTAATATTCTATTTACAAATTCTGATTCAATGTCAAAAATGTTAGTCTGTACAATTTAAGCTATATTCATTCAACTTTAAAGCATTTTTCATGTTTCATAGGATATTTGTATGATTAAGATTGAACAGCATTTCATTTTTGTAGAAGTGCCTATATCTTTTTTCAAATTTTATTGCGATCTTTACAAAATTCAATAAATTGATAGGTTTAATTAGGTACCTCCACAAGATCGCTAAAAAAGAGCATAGCATGATGAAAAAGACTTCAAACTGGACGAAAACAAAATTTTATTGTCTAAATGCTTGTTATTAAGAGGAAAGATCAAAGTATTTTGGGTTTTTATTTTTTGGAGTCAGCAAAATTGACAGATTGCAACCATTTTTTTCCATTTTATAAAAAAAAAAAAAAATGAAAATCTCACTTTGAAATTCTTTTAAATATCAATTTCATTTTTTTTCGAAACTTATTTTAAGGAAATCAGAAATAATGTTTATTTAAAATATTTTGAACCAATCTTAACTTAGCTTCTGTGCTGAAGATATAATTTGAAAATAAAACAAAGCAGGTCATAAACTTTTGCCTCACTTGGCAGGTGATGAATGGCATATTGATGGATTCCGTGAGGATAATTTGCTCTACGGGAGGAGAAAAGTGAAATTATTTACATTTAAGTAAACAAATTATTTACCGCATTATTTTTAAGGAAAACTTTCAGTGCTCTAATTTTTTTTTATTTTATTTATTTTTTTTTTTTTTTTTTTTTACTTAGCTTTCACCTTTACATTTACGATGCTTTATGGAAAATATAAAGAAATTAAAATAAGACTGTTAAGAGTGAGATTAAATTTTATAAGGTATCCAATTAATTTATAGGTACCTTTTTTATGGAAAAATGTCATAACTGAGGTTAATATAAAAATAAGATCATCTAAATTTCATAAGATGATACTGATACTTGTAGGTACCCTTCTCAGTTGAAATTGAAAAATCAAATTAACTTCTCCACATGTGTTTTGCAAAAGTAAAGGGTGTAACAGTGGAGAACAATGCTTAACTCAAATAAAGCAACTTAATTGTATTCTGGTTGGTCTGCCGTACTTTATAATTACAGCCCGATTATAAACACAAAATTAATTACTGTGGATCTTCTGATTAGTCAAAATGATACAATTTACAACGTGCTAAAAAAAAAAAAATTTATCTCATAAGGACACTTAGGAAACCCGATACGGCTTTTAACTAATTTTATAATATTTTAACAGCTTAAATGTAAAAATCTATTATAATTAAAGAAATAACAAATAATTGTATTAAAAATTCATTAAAAAAAAAAAAAAATTTGTTTTCGTCAAGTTTGGTATCTTTTTTCATCTTGCCATGCTCTTTAGCGATCTCCATGGAGGTACCTAGGTTTAATCAACAAAAGTTTTTGTTTTTTTTTTGTTTTTTGTTTTTTTTTTAATTTGGAACATTGCCATTTTGATTTATAGTTTTAGTTTATGGATGATGTATAAATGACTTAATCATTGTAGCCTGGTCAATTTATGCAGAGAAATAGAATGGATGGTGGCAACCGGAGACAGTTAATGGATGGAGGTAACTGGTAAGTATCAAATTGTTTTCTTTCATGTTGAAATAACTGACAATTTTAAGTTTTATTCCTGCTTTTTTAAAAAAAGAAAAATCACCACATATGCACGCCTTCTGTCATAAGGATGTTGAATTTAAGCATTGATTTTAAATTTTGTAGGAATCATGGTGGTCAGAATGTAACGGCTGCTCTTTCCCAAACCAGTGAACTTTTGAAAGGACTGACTAGTCTGTTAGGGTAAGTAATGGTAGTATTTGTGAAAATTAATACATTTTATAAACTTTTAAGATAGTTCATGATCTTCAATTCTTTAATATCTTTATAATTGATAATTCTTATTAAATGAATGCTCTCAATTTCTTTTTCTAGTCCATGTATTGTCATTCCTGAAATTGTAGATGCTGTATCGTGTAAAAGAATTTATTTTTAGGTTTTAATTATAAGTTACTTCACTAGATTCAACGAAGCATGAATCTCTTACAACTGTTTTAAAATAACATTGCTGGTATTGAATCACGCATACTCTTGTTTACCATGAACTGTCGAATGTTTAAAAGCATCTCCAAATTAAAAAAAAAAAAAAAAAAAACGTGTGAGATAGAGATATATATATATATATATATATATATATATATATATATATATATATATATATATATATATATATATAAGCATGTTTTATAAATTCTTAAATTTTAAAATTGAAATTTTTTTTTTTTTTTTTTTTTTTTTTTTCCTCCTTGCTTGACTAGTTATAGCATGAAGTTCAATCTTGTAATGTATTTTTGTCATCTGACATATGTCATTTCTTTGTGCTAAATGAAGAGAGCTTTGTTTTGCAGCCAGCAATTACTGAATCCTAACCAAATGGGAGGACAAGGAAGTGGTCAATATGGCAATCAGTCTTGGGGTCAAGGTATGGACCAAGGCAATAACTATGGTGGCTACCAGTCTGGTAACCGAGGTTATGGCAATGACAACATGAATTATGGTAATTTTTTAATTCTTAAGCTTAAAATTTTCTTTGAGGAAAATATTAAGTTTGCTTAAGCTCTGAAAGATTAATTTCAATAGAAGCAAAAATTCTTACACAAAATTATCTGGTTCCATAAATTTCTTTGTAATCCTTGGGTATTGCAGTATCCAAATATTTCATTGTCAATTTCTTGAACTTAATATTTTCCAAGTATTTGATCCTGACTTGATGCTTGAAGAAAATATTTTTCATAAAGCATTATTTTGTACATGTGAATGCATTTTTCATCTTTAGAATCATGTTATCTTCACAATTTTTTTTTTTTTTTTTTTTTTTTTAATCTTTGTAAAATTATGGCCTTCTATCTTGTATAATAGTATTAGTCACATTTAATTTAGCCAGTGTTTTGTTAGATTTATTTCTTGAATGGAATTTGCTTACTGCAATCCTTACTGACAAGTAAAATTTATTTCTTGGAGGGAAAACATGACCATCTCAAGTGATTTGTATGTAATACATAAATTCACTGAGTTTTTATGGCTTACAATGAATATCAAAATGTGTGAAGAGGCCATGATTTTCATTTACCTTTGCCTTGCAACTGTACATTTATCTTGGCAATGTGTTGATTTTACTAAACTCTTTAATTTGCAGATAATTTCAAAGCTTAAGTTATTTTTTTTTTATTTTTTTTTTTTATTTATTTTTTATTTTTTCTTCGGAATTCTGATTTTAATAAAGCATACCAATATTTTCAGAGCTAGTATTAATTTTGTAGAGTTTATCAGAATATTCAGTAGAAATAAAACGTTCGAATAAAAACTAGCTAGCAAATGTTAGGTTAAGATTCGGGACCCTAACTTGATTGTTTATAGCAAAGTACTTTCCTTATTTTAGAAATCATAAATGTCCCTACTACTGAGTTGCAGTCACTTTCTCCTACTTTGATTTAGTCCATTTTTGTCTTCTAATTTTTTTTGATAAAAAGTAACTTTTGGAGTTGACAGATCTAAAATCCCATTGTAATTGTTTGAATTGCTCTCCTCTCCCAATGCCAACCTCATTGGTGCTACTGCTGATTTTTGTTTCTAAACATTGCTCCTCTCCAATTGAACTCTTAACTGCTCTCATAACAGATAACAAACGAAGGAGAAAGAACAGAACTAGCTGGTAAAAGAAAGTGCATCGGGTGAGTTGAACAAAGTTTGTAAACTTAAAAGTATAGGATTCCTGCTCGGGTAGAAATTGCCAGGAAAAAATCAACTTAAATATCTATTTTTTTCTGGCTCATGTCAAAATATCTTAAGACCTTAAAAGATGCCTTGTTCAAGCTACTAAAACTATGGTTGTAATGCTAGGAAGTATAAACTAATATTAGCTTGTGGATGAATTGGAAGCACTGAAACACTTTCATCATAACCAATGCTTTTCTAGTTTTGCAATTTCCCGCACCCTGTCCCCACATAATTGTTCTAAAAAAAAAAAAAAAAAGAAGAAAATTACAGATTTCCCCTCACTACCCATTTGTTTTTAATTAGATTATAACTATTTAATTTACCTAGAAGCTACAAATTTTTTTTTTTTTTTTTTTTTTTTTTTTTTTAATTTCATGCAGAAAAAAAATTGGGTATTTGAGGATATTTTCTCTTTTTGGATGAGAAACTATTTGTACGTTTCATGATAGGCTACAATTTTGAAAAGAGGATTATTAGTGTTTATTCATGAAGGAAATATTCAAATTAAAAATAAAATAAAAAAAATTATTTTAATTTGATGTATTAATTTGTTTGTTCAGTTTCCTACAATTGTCAGCTTCATTTCTATCTTCAGGCTTTGTCCCATTTGTTTATTTTTGTTGTCTTGAGGTATGATTTTATTTCATATCTCATCTCACATTATCCCATGATCTTGGCTGACATTGCAGCTAATTCTCTTGAATTCTTATTTTGCATTTTCATAAGTTTTTTTTCTTTTTCAGACCTCTTCACTATAAAGCTGATTATTTGTTTAAGCTTTGTGCACATATTCTCACTAGATAGGTGGATGGATGAGATGCTTCACTCTGCCTGTTTTACAGGTCCATATACTTGTAAGCTAAGTGGCAGCAGCAGTCCCTATTTTGTTTGAAAACCGTTGCTGATGCTCTACTTCAGCAACAGTAATTAAGCACAGCTTCATTTGTGCTTGACACCACCACTCCTATAAAGGAAAAATAAATTAGGCAGCCTGCATGATTGTTACGTCACTGTATTGCTTGCTTGTAACTTGCTTTAAAGATAATTATCACATCCCATCTAAAGACCGCTACACATTGTTTTCCTGTTCATGTCATGAATGATTTTCATCTCATTTGTAGGCAACAGTGGTTACGGAGGCTGGGGTGGATCTTACCGAGGAGGCTACAATTAGACTTGTCTCTTTCTGGAAGCAGGAGGCCATGCACACATTTCATCATTGTTCATTGACCTTCAGCAGCCATTCGTCAGTGGCAGACTTCATATTTGAATTTTATTCACTAGTGACTCTCATGCAAAGTTGGTCTGCAACACTTTTGAAATGTTTTACTTGTAAGTAAATACTGTCTAGAGGGCAATTGCCCATTCCACCCTCCTATTGCATTCAAATAAATATCAAGAAAACATTCGTTGTTTTATGTTTTCTTAAGTGTGCCAGGTAGAATAAAGTAAAAATAATTTTTTCCCTCTCCCTTTCATTTTTTTTAATATATAATCCATCTCTGTGAAAAGATATCGAGCTTTTCAGGTGCAATATATAATATTCATGTGAAATGTGTTTAATTTTCATTATTTTAAATTCTCTGTACTCAAGATTGTTTAATTGATTACTTGGAATTCATAAATTTAAGTCAAAATTTGTACATATTTCTTGTTCTTTATTGTTGGATTTTTCTATTTCGCTTGGTAAACTCTAGTTACTGATTAAATTCACTTTCAGAGTTTTTTCTTGAAACTCTGTAGAAAAATCTATATAAACTTTTGTAACAAAACATTTAAACTCCAAGTAACTTGATACATCCATTCAGTAATAAATGTTTAATGAAAACAATTTTAGCAATATCTTTTGACCGAGTTATTTGTGATATAATTTAATATTTTGTACAAAAAGTTTACATTTAGACTACTGTTTAAACAGTGGTGGCTTTACATGAAAGTTTTTAAACCCCTTCACTGTACATCTAATAACTGAAGAAAAAAGGAACTCATTTTCAGTAATGATTGTGCCAGCATTTTTTTTTTTTTTTTAAGGCAGGCATAGTACAAACTCGTTTCTTTGAAATTCATTTATATAGAATAATTATGGTGATGACCAAGTAATTTGAACAACTTTTATTCTGATTAATACAAGTTTTTGTATTCTTTAATGAAGAAAAAAAAAAAAGAAATGCAGCATATTCATTACTGTATAGAAAATATTCTTGTTCAAATAGCAGTCAAAACTAAATTTGTCCTCACTTATTAAAATAAAAAAAAAAAAATGTCATTTGGATCTCTTCATTTGGATAACATGCCAGTAAAACAAGAGGTGGATTTAGAGAATTTTTATAGAACATAAATAATTAGATGAAGAACTGAATGTTAACTACTTGAGGTGAGCAAAAAAACTGCTGTACACTTGGACAGTTAAGTGATCTCAAAATGTAAACTTAAATTTTTCTGGTGATTCCCTAAAAAGTAGGGTATTCAATGCTGCGAACAAATCTGAAGATTTATTTTCTGAATTTGAATATCAACATTTCAAATCCCTTTAAATGTTATTTTAAGATGCAAGCTTAAATCGGTGTGATATTAACATGCTGTTGGTTGGTACTGAAGAGTAGGTTCCTCCATTAGGTCACGTAAAAAAAAGCGGTATATCACGATGAAAAAAGGGGCTATAATTCAACGAAAAAGTTGTTTAAATATGTTTTTATTAATTGAAAGCTAAAGCATCAAATTTATTATTTACAGGAAGTAACATATTCTGGTGTCTTTCAGTTAGAAATTATATATATTGGAATGTTAAATATATATGCTCGATTTTTGTTTAATTTTCTTAAAAGCAGCCATTTTCTTAAATTTTAAGAAATTTGTAAACAAACAAAATTTTGAATTTAAACTTTTTCCTAAGATAAATTTATATATTTTTGACACGTTATTTGAGTAAAATTAGAAAAGTTAAATTAATCTGATTACTTACTTATAGCTTAAATTTGTATCCAAACATTCCTTAACAATGTGTCTGAATTTTTTGTATGTCTTTCATCACGTTCGCAAATGACAAGGTGATGACAGACTACTATTGATGATCAAAATTGACAATTTCTTGTTTTTCGGTTTTAACTAGTACTTTTTAAATATTAACATTTTTATTCAGGAATTACGTACTATTTATTTTTATTTCATACTTTCTTAATTAGACAATTGTTAAAACCCTAACCCTTACTTTTAGAATTTGAAAGAATTTCTGGAAACAAGTTAACGATGTGAATCTGAACTGGACAAAGAGAAATAACCAGACACAGATCACGTGACCTTTTTAAGGATTATGTAGCATATACATTTCCATGCATAGAAATTATGAACTTTTATGAACTTTTTTTTTTTTTTTTTTTATTAATAAAAATTTCTTTTTAAAATTATTTAAAAAAACATTTGCGTCGAACGACTTGTGCTTTTCAAAGATTGATTCGTAAATTTACATTAACGTTATCATTGCATTACGTGCGTGAAAGAAATAATTTTAAACCATTTTTGAAGTATTTTAATGTCATACTTTTTTTTTTTTTTTCTTTCTTTCTTTAATTCAAAGCAGATTTTCTATGAAACCGCATATTTTACAAAAAAAAAAAAAAAAACTGACTTACTTTCTACAAAGTGTCCTGTTTATAACTAAAAAAAAAAATCCTGTGTGTGAAGATTTAATTTCTCAATTCCATGAAAATAAGTGGGTGGAAACATGTTAAGTTTCTTTTTTTTTTTTTTTATAAAGATTTTCTGAAAAAAAAATTTCAAAATTAATTTCATTCAATTCTGAGTAAGTTTTGAAAGTTTCATTAAAATCCAACAATTGACTTTTTTTTTTTTTTTTTGCAAGAATTTCCTAAATTAACATGTTTTTTGCTCGGGAAAAGCGCAAAATAAATTTTTTTTTTTCTCACGCTGTCGTAAAAAAAATTTTTTTAGCCAAAATTTGTGTTAGAAAGGAGTAAAAAATTTCAAAAAATATTTAAAAAATACTTTGGTCTTTCCTCTTCATAACATAAACATAATTTAAACAAAACTTTGTTTTCGTTGAATTATGGCCCTTTTTTCATTGTGATATGTCGCTTTGTTTCAGGTGAAGTCATGGCCACAAATAAAAGCCTATATTAAACCTTATGCTACTTGAGTGAATATTATTAGTTTGGGTTTGCAGTAGGAAATTAAAAAAGATTGAGCATAATTAATTTCTCAAGTCGAATCCTCTTGATATATTTATTTCTCTATAAATCTTGAATTCTCCATGTTAAAACTTAAAATGAATCATCCAAACAGGTTCATTTTAAGGGGGATGGAAGAGAATTCATCTTTTACAAATGCAGTGACTTCTGTTCATTTTTGTTTTCATAAATCTCTGTTTCACTCACTCGTATTATTGTAGTGCCTAGGTTAGCAGCTGATTTAGAGTCTGTTTACAATATCTATAAATTTTGGGATAAAACTTAAGTTCAATATTTATTTTTCATTAATTTTGTCTGCTACTGTTTTAACACGAAAGTTTCTACAAATTTCATTTCAGAAAAATATTAAATGTGACATAGCATTTGTAAATTTTGCAGTGTGAAAATTGAACATAAAACATTAACTTTAGTGGGAGAGTTAGAAAAAAAAAAAAAAAAAAAAACTGGATTAATCAAATACAATTAAAATGTTACATTTCAGCATACTTGTTTCATTTGTTAGAAACAGAAATACAGACTCTTAAAATTTTGCACAAAGTTTAAAGGCTTAATTATAAATTAGTATAAATCTTTAGCTTTGTTAATTGAAGTGCAAGTAGTTTTTTTCCTTAAACTGCACTCGACCGAAGCTGAAACACTCTTCACTCAGGGTAATTGCAAGATTTGAGATAGCCATAGTGCAGATTTAGTCAGCACTGGAGGCCTTAGAAGAAAATAATGGTGCTTTAAAAAAAAAAAAAAAAATTCTTGCAGAAACACTGACACTTAAATTGTCTGCAACTACCAATATGCTGCTGCTCCAAATTTTTTTTTTTCATATATCACATTTGTCTCACTGAGTTCCTTATTCACAAGAACCTAAATATGAATGCAGTATAAGTTTTTAAACAAACAGCACATTATGAAGAATATGTACAAACAAGTGTTTCCAAGACAGTCCATTTAAATCAGCCAATCAAAACAAAATTAAATAGCCAGTGATGGCTTAATTTACCAACTATTTTCATTTGAATATTTTTATACAACACATGATCTGGATGATTTTGTAATGGCAAGTCGGATGTAGGCTCACAGTCTAAAATGTTGGCAAACTCAATATACACAGGAACTAAAAAAAATTTAAGCAACATTGGAACATGAAACAACTTTATTGATATTTCAGATCCTACAAAGTACAGTTTAGTGTTACAGACATAAATCTTTAAGACATTGGATAAAGTTGGAAAATATTTAATCATTCAGTTCAGCTGAAGAATGATCAAGAAAGAAAACATGCATGTATCATGGTTGCTGTTTCTAAATGATCAAGAGAAATCAAGGATCTCAACTGTCAAGAAAAGCTTTGAAAGTCACAACCCAAAAAAAAAAAAAAAAATCCCTCCCCCACACCCTAACAGATAAAGACAATGGAATGTCAATATAAAAAAAAAATGTAAAATACAGAATGGCATAACTGTTAAAAAAAAAAAAATCATGCAAAGTCTTAAAATATTCTCTGAAATGTAAGCAATTTTACAATATATTCTAAATGAATTTAAGAATGCTGGAGATGTGAAATTGAGAGTAAGCTTTGAGATTCAGGAAAATATTGTGTGAAAAGCAAAAACTTTACATTAAGTACTTGTTATTGTCCTGACAAAAAGAAGGCTAGAGGTATTTACTCACATTGAACTTTCCACAATGACTATGAAATTGGTTTTAATTCATATTACTTTGAAATATTTACCTTTCTTAACTAATGAAACTGGCTTATAATTTTGAAACAAGAATGCTAGCTGCATTAGAATTAACCATAATTTTTTTTTTTAACTCCAAAATAAGTTTGTTTTAAAATACTGATATTATTAGTGATGCAATGAAAATTCATACAAGTTGGTTATTATGTTCCATATATAATTATAAAGTTGTGACAACATATACTAGTAATATTTGTCAATTGTCAAAGCTAATCTTGTGATATTTATTTCTGGCTATTTTCTCCTTGAGACATTTGGTCAACTGCTGCAAGACAAAAACACATTTCTTCCCAAACCACACTCACAGCAAATTGAACTGTTAAAATTCTTTTATATTGAGCAAAAAATATTTGACACAACATCAACTTGACTCTTAATACAAGAACTTGTAAGGCCATAGAGAGCTGTTAGTCAATAATCAAGATTGGTTAAATATATAACATAACTTACATCCTCTTAAGTCAGCAATAACATTTATGCATTTAGTTTTAATGGCAAGAAGACTTAGTATTTTTGAATTTATCTAAAGTAAATCCTAAATAGTATGGAATTAATTTATTTATTTTTTTTTTTTATCACCATTACAGATTTATAGGTGAGAAGTATATTTAAATTTATTTTAATGAGAAAATCTCACAACTCACAAAATGTTTGGTGTAGAATTTACAAATTGAAAAGTTATCACAAAAGCTAAAACAGTTGCCACCAACAGTGCAGCTGCTTCATGTTTCAAAAATCATTACACTGATCACATGAATGTGGCTATTTACATGCTGCTGCTGCCATCTGGGAAAGAGTGGGTAGTATAATTATTATTAAACTTTTGGTTCCATTCCTCTGTAGCAGAATTGATTTCTTGGTAAATTGAATTTCATAAAGTTTCCTCCCAACATCTATGAAGACAAATATTGGAAGAATTATCAATTAATCAAAGTTTCCTCTTAAATCCTGAGAATAAATTCTAAATATGATCCTATCTAAAGATTCAATTTCTATTAAGAGACAGCAAGATTATCTTTTTAGGTCTCATGTTAAATCCTTCAGTAAACAGTTGGCATGATTTCCATTGATTGTATTTCAAAGCCGACATAATTCTTTGTTGCTTTAACATTATATGTGGATAATTATGGAGATCAGTAGGATGCAAGTATTCCCTACTTTGGTGAGTTTGAAAATGTTAGGTTATTTCTTTAGGCTATTCTTTGATAGCCTCATGACAAAACAATGTGTTTCCTCGTCTTCAAATAGTCACATTTTCTCAAAAGAATATAGTACATAGCTGTGTTTATTTTCTGTGATTTGAAACCTAACATTTTAAATGCAAAATGTTCCTTTATGATTTATACCCCAGAGATAGACATTTAATTTCAAATATTGAAAAAGTGAAAACGATTTAAAAAAAAAAACAAAAAAAAAACTGAAAAATAAAAGTAACAAAAATAGAATGCATCTGAGAAGAGTGATTGTGGGCTGATGAACAAAGAAGGTTGAAGAAAGCAGATACACATCTAAGTAATAAAAAAAATCAAATAAAAGTGAATTCAAGCAGTTTGATTTGGAGCCCAAATTAGAGACAGAAAACCTCTTCACAAATGAAGTTGAAAATCCAAAATGTAATCCTTTAAACATTTATCTCCTCTTTCTTGTACGCGTATCGAATGGATTCAGTGTTCGGTGCATAATAGCATAAACACCTGAACATAACTTTTTTTTTTCCCCCCCTTTCTTTCCAGCCATCCTGTTCGGTTTTTCTCCATTTTATATATAGTTAAATTTTCATTTTTCTGCTTCTTTAAAAATCAATGTTGTGCCCAAGGAGTGGTTTTTATTGATGGGGAGACCATGCTCATCTTTCCACTGAGGGACCCTCTTCCAAGACATTGATAAGCATCTCTGCTGCATTTCGAACATCTTCATTCTCATGTGAACTGAGTTGTTTAGCTAAATCAGGAATACCAGCACACATCAATTCCTCGCGCAAATTGCCTGCAAAAAAAATAAAAATAATTGGTTGCAAAAGGAAAAAAATACTTGGATTATTTTCTTTGCTTACTGTCAACATTAAAAAAAAAAACTTCAATTTCTGATTAAAGCTTTTTTTAATAAATTAAAAAAGAAACTTCCAAATGTGAAAGTTTGCATTAGCAACAATTTCTCATTCTAGTGACTTTAAAAAAATTATGGAGACGTTAATAGCTTAACTGAGTCGCTTATTTTTTTTAGGATTCAATTTTTACATAAAGAATATCTCCCAATAGTAGTATTAGGTAACAACAGGGATTATAGAAATTAACTGATAATATAAACATTTTCTTGAAATGTATATTGTATACCATCAGGATTAAGGTATTTGATAATTTCTAATTATAATCTATTTGGTCAATAATTGCAATATAAATTCCATTTTATTGCATAAATAAATAAATAAAAAAAACACTTAAAAGGAAGTGCTTCAGTGCCCTGAAGTTTTGCAGTTGGTTTTGAAAAATAATATAAAATTTAAAACATTAATCCAGTGCTGGAACAATTTATCTTTTAGTTTATTTATATTTTTTTAAAGACAAGAACAACTGACAAATCCAGATTTGAACTAATTAACAATTGCTTAAACCGAATTTAATTATAATTCTATTTAAGAGATGACATTATTTAAAACTTGTGAAGTTCACATTTTCCCCAAGAGGAAAGTTTTTCACAAGAAGGTGCCTTATTAGTTGTCTCCCTTGTACTACAAAAGTCTCAAGATTTTCAATATCTGATTTACACATTTAAACATCTTTCGACTGGCAGTTAAACTTCCTTCAATTCAGTTATGAAAAGAAATTTATATCACAGTTTTTCCCCTTAATAGAACATCTTAGTACAATAATGTAAACTAACATAAATAAAATTCAAATTTTTAAAAAATCCTTTATATCTGAAGAATTTCAAATTAAAAAAAAAATGTTTAAAATGAACTAAAGCTATTGCGTATTTTTGAGGAGTTTAAATCAATTATTTTTGTGACTTACTTTGCATATTTGAAAGCATACCGGTGCAGGCAAGGAGAGTACACTGGGCCAGCTGAGGGGGGCGATGTGAGACTGCAAGAGACAAGATTTTTGGTTAACAAAGTGGATTACATTAATATATTTGTAAATAAAGTTTACTTATCAGACTCCTACATAATTAACCAGATTTCTACAGATACTGGTATTACATCAAAGACACACTGTATATACTCACTATATAAGGGATGCATTTCCACACAAGAAAAATATTCTTCTAAAAATAATTCTCAATGGTCAGGTTTGGAAAAGTCTTGAATTAGAAATTACCAGAATTTGAATGTGACAATTTTGTCACATTTTCTTTGAGCCACTATATTTACTAAAAAATAAAACAAATTGGAAAATTTATAACTATTTTTTATGAATACTGTATATACTTGTGTATAAGCCAACTTCATGTATAGTGCAACCCTTGAAGAAAAAAATTACTTGGTTACCGAAAATGCATGATTTTTAACCTATTCAAAAGTTATTATTTTGTTTAAAAGAAACTGATCATAAAAACTCATACTACTCAAGTATATACATTCATGAGTTTTTTTGTTTTTTTTTATCATTTCACCCCCAAGCAATATATATGCAATAGCTTTTTGAGAATGAAAGAAAGTGTTGAAATGGAGAGAACAATAAAAGACCATTATTCAAAGAGACAAGATAAAAATTGGCATTGCATTCAAAATTTTGAAGATCATAGTTAACAAGAAGGCAAGGATCCAGAAGAGATTTCCACAAATTTGAAGAAACTATTAGCACAAAACTTAAAGTTACATCTAGCAATTTCAATGCTTAAATGTTGCCAATCTAGAATAAAGCTTATGTTCATGAAGTCATGGTATCAAAGATGTAAGCTCATCAGAATAATTAGCATAACGGTATTGATAGAAAAGGTACAAGGAAGCTATATTACAGTGGGAGGAAAGTCAAGTCAAGAATCTCTAGACATATTGGAAGCACCAGACTAGATATGGCAGCAATATTCAATGAATGATAGAATTATAAATGTATAGATTCTGGCGAGAAAAATTATTTAGCACAAAACTGGATTATTATCTAGAGAGGCTGGGGTGTGGCATACAATTCATTTTGTGCCTTTTAAACTTGCAGGGGGAGGGGGGTGGACAATAAGTTTATAGAATGTGAAGGATCATTGTCTTGCATTCAAAAATTCAGAATTACTCAGTAAATAATTCTCCCTCCAAACAATATAATTCCAATCCACCAAGCAAAAATATTTATCATGCATGTTTCAAACTTGGACATAAAAGTATCGAGTGCAGAAGCAAAAAAGAAGATCCATTTTGTAAAAATGTTTCAGAAAATGAAAATTCATTTCTATTTTCAGTTGGACTAAACACCATTTCCAACAGAAATGGTTTACTTGTTGATTGTGGAACCAAAACTCATCTTATTGACAAATATAAATTTATTAGTTTTGATAATGATTTACTCCAAAAACTCACCATAAAGAGCAGGCAGATGAGAGTAGAACAAGTAATATTGCCTTAAAAAGAAGCAATGATCAAGTTACTTTAATTGACATAGAAGGAAATATGCAAGATTTCATTTTAAAGGATACCCTTACTTTTAAACAGTATCTTCTCAGTATAACATGCTACCGTAAAAAAAGAGTTTCTGTAAAATTTGGTTGTAATAAGTCAGAACTTGTATGCCCTAATTGTGTAAAATTCAACATAAAAAGAGATGGCCACTTGTACTATTTAAATACAGCAATAACCTTGAAAACTGCTACATGTAGCCTAAAACAATGGCATCAAATTCTTGGACATTAAAGCCATTATAAAACTACAAGATGTGGAAGGTATGAAAATTACTGATAAATCAAATTTAAACTGTGAAATATGTATCCGAGGCAAAATGGTACAGAATAAAAAAAATAATTTAACTGATAAACAGGCAAATAAAATATTAGATGTTCATTATGATCTAGCCAGCCTGACTGAGCTGAAAAGTGGCCTATCTTATTGGTTAGGAGAAAATACCAGCACACATCATGTTTTGTCTATAAATTTGAAGATGTCTGTAGGAACAGACGAAAGCTTGTACAAATAAGAACTAATGCAACAGAAATTTATAAAAACAAGGATCTTTTCATTCATAACAGGTTCCGGGGGTTTTTGTATATTATTTGAATTGTTTGCGACGATTGATTTCTCGCCAATTAAAGCATTAACCTTTGTATTTTGTTTTTGTATGAATAATTCATGAATTTGTAAATTTGAGGAGGGAGATGTTTTTGCAGTCATTCTTACGAAAAATATGAGAGAGAAATTTTGATTCTTTACAGGCAATTGTTTATCATACAAAAAGTTTCAATAGCTTTAAACCTTTGATATATTCATGATTTTGGTGGGGTTTTTTTTTTTTGTTATAATAATAATGCTAACAATAATATAAATAATGCAAATAGTAATAATAATCTTAATTATTGATTAAGAAAGCAATAATGAAACTAATAAAAATGATTTTATATTCAACAAACCAACTCTTGCAGAGTCACAATTTTTTATTCTCAAAAATATCTTGTATTCAACAATTAGTAAACTTCTCCTTGGCACAGGGTCCTCATCTCCATGAGAAGGAGGAGGGAACGATTAGCTATTATCTATAACTTTCCCTTTTGAACAACACCAAAAATATCTAAATATTTTATTTATATATATATATATATATATATATATATATATATAGGGCATTTTTCTGTCAGGCAGCTATCAGTTCAGCAGTTGACCTAGAACCACCTATAAAAAAAGTCTCATCCTCCATTTTTCTTTTCTTTGTATTAAAATCAGATCGCTGCAACCAGTTGTCTGTATCCCTTTTTTGTGTTAACCCCATTCTTATTTTGTGAACTTTTTGTCTTATTACTGTTGCTTGTTTTGCATATATTGAATTGCTTGGTATTATTTTTGTTCCAGTTTTTTCTTTCTTATTTAAAGTTATGTTTATTTGCAGATTTCTCAATTCTGTTTGTTGAGTATTTCGGCCAATTACTCTACCACTATATTCTAAACGCTCTTGACAAGAGTCTTCATATTTTGCATACATTGTGAAGTACACAAAGTATTTTACTTAAGCCATTTTATTTCCAACTTTGTGTTTGCATTACTCAATTAATTTACAATATCTTGAAGTTATATCTTTCTTGGATGAACGTTGATACCAGAAAGAGACAAAAGAATTGACTCTTTTTCAACCCCCAAAAGAGAAAAAAAACATGTGCACTTACAGACAGTGAATATTGCAATTTACAGGATTCGAAAAATAAATATCTTTAAATGTTAATGTAGAAAATCTGTTTCTGCTCATGTCTTTGGGGTTTGTTTTTTGTTTAAACAAGACACAAAATATTTGTATTTTGTCTATCTATTAGTTTTAAACCGAATATGCTGAAACATGTGAACCAATGTTTCTTTGGCAGAAATAAAACAAAAAGAAATTACAGTGACTATTGGTAAGTTGTGAATTGTGTTGTGAAACAAATTTTCTCTCCAGAATTTATCTTCAGTCAGTTATGTGCCATGCGTGGTACATGCTTAGGCGATCATGTATCTTTTGATACATGACTGACAGGGCAGATTTTTTTCTTGCAGTAGGTTGCCATTTCTTTTTGCGGTAGACCAGTTGCCATCCAAGGCTATAAGAACCCGGTCTGTCCTGCTATTTACCCATAGCTGCAGAGAGAAGAAGAGGGTTCATATCTTTCCCAGGGGTATTTGTGTGCAAGTGAATCTAACAAACTCAACTGAAAGAGTATTAGCACGTATTCCTCAATCCGAGCCACTATCCATTACTCCACCGTATCTTACATATCTATAAGTCTACTATTCATCCATGCTTAGAATATTGCTGCCACATATGATCCAGTGCCACTGCTATTTACCTTGAGCTTCTTGATAAAATTTAAAGAATCAGCTCAGCTTCAGTCACTTTCCCACCACCATAAGATTGCTCTCTGTGTCTTTTTTATAAATACTTTAATGGTTATTGTTCGGATGAGTTCTTTCTATGGTACCTAGACTTTTTCAATTTAAGCACAGTACTAGATTGGCATCAAGATCTCATCAATTTACAATCGAGCTGGTTAGATGTAACCATAAATTCTAAAAATAAAATAAAGTTTCTTTTCTAGCACTTCTTGTTTGTTGAACTCCCTTCTGGCTTCATGGTTTCCAGCTAACTTTAATCTACAAAAATTTAAATGTAAGGTCAACCGCTATCTACTGTCCTCCTGATTACTCTTTCCTCTTCCCGCTTATTATTGTTTCTGTTCCTAATTCTTTCACATCCTGTAACTCCTTGTGTCTTAGTGGCTTTTCTACCTTGTATGGAATGATACTGATTAAACATAAAAGATAAGGATTCGTATTAAAAAAAAAAAAAAAATTTAAATGTTCATTGAGAAGAAAGTGTTTTACTGTTGAGCCTCACCTGCCATGACAAGAGCTCTAGTCAAAGATAATGTGTTGGCAATGATATTGGGTAGAGTTTGTTGGCTCTTCAGTAGATTGGCGATAACCTCAATCAGCTCAGCTTCTTTCAAGGCCATGGCAGCCTCATCTGGAAGAAAATAAATATCAAGATAATGAGTCAAAAAGAAAAATCAAACACACATTGTAATTTAAATTTATTGGAATCCTAAAGAGAATAGGATAAATGCCTTGAATGATTGTTATTTGCTTGTTGCTTCATTGTGAGAATTACTGGAGAGTTAGTCCCTTACCCACCATCATAACGTAGCTTCCCTGTGCCTTTCCTATAAATATTTCCATGGTAATTGTGCTGATGAGTTTTCCTCCATGGTACCTAGACTTTATGAATTTAAGCACAGCCAGGTCTCATCATTTACAGTTTAAATGAATAACCATAAGTTCTATGCTAAAAGTTTCTTCTATTGCAATTTTCTTGATTTCCAGTCAATGTTGATCTCCAAAAATTTAAATGCAATCTACTGTTTTTTTAATGAAAATCTACTGTTTTCTTAATTCTTGTTCTTTTATTGTTCTCTTTCCTTAATAGTATTTTTTGTTTTTTCATATTCTCTAACACACAGTAATAATAATAGAATAAAGACTCACCTACCTGAGCTGATTGTTTAAAGCAAAGAGTAACTACCATACAACATACCAAGGTGATCTTCTTTGGTAGCTCAATGAGCCGAGATAAGCAGGGCAACTATCAAGCTGTAAGATGTCAGTCACCTTTTATATGGATTGGGGATGAAAGGCTTCAACTGCCATACTAATAAAAGGGGGTTCAAAGAAGAGTACTCTATCTTCATATCTTGCTTGTTGGCAAGAGGCTGGCACAATAAGAGATCTGTATGAAATTTTTGGGTATTATAAACCTAATGTCTTCCGCAACCATTTTTACCAGTGCTCATATCGCAATTTTTGCTGTTATCATTTCAGTTTTTACCAGAGCTTATATTTCAATTTTTGTTGTTATTATCGCTTTTCTCTGGCAATCCTTATTATTGGTTCCCATATTGTATTCATTTCTATGATTGGTTGGCTCAGGAGATTTTTGTGGCCTAGCATATGTACTGATTCCTTAAGTTTACGAATTTACCAATGATGTTCTTTGTCTATGATTTCAACCTGATCCCACAAAGGGCAGTGATCTCCCTTTTCTCCCCATATGTGGTCAGCCATGCCTGATTTTTCCACTTCCCCTTGTGTTACAGCTTTCTGGTGTTCTTGAAGCCTTACCTTAAGGGGGTGGCCTGTCTCCCCATTATATTTCTTTCCGCAGCTGCACGGGATGGCGTACACATTATCTTTAGTCATGTTCTCCGCAAGGGGTTTTTTTACTCTGGAGAGATATCTGCGAAGTGTCATCCAGCTTTTGAAGGTTGTCCTGATGTTATATGGACTGTAGATCCTTTGTATTTTCTTTGATAACCCCTTCACTGGGGTAGACTGTTCTAGAATGTTGAACTTAACAGTCTACCCCAGTGAGCAAAATAAAGGGTTAAGTTCGACATTTCAACCACCTGAAGAAGGCCGGAGTGTACAACGGCCGAAACGTTGTAATAAATATGGTGACAAAGATGAAGACTATAGTCCGAATAATGTACATAATACCTCATCTCAGAAATACAGACAGATACAAAAATACAAGAATTTAAATGTCTGGGGCATACAAACTGAAATCTGAAGATACATTTGGATAGCAAAAAAGATGAAGAGACATGGTTCTACAGAAGGATGCTGAGAATAACATGGACTGAACCTATGAGCAATGATGTCGTTTTAGAGAAAATAGAAATAAAAAGGAGACTTATACTTAACATAAAAAAGAAATAGTTGAAATTTCTAGGCAACATAATGAGGAAAGAGGGCTTGGAAAATGTGATACTCAGAGGGCAGATTGATGGTAAGGGAAAACCATGCACAATCTACCTAGTAAGAGTGAGTAAATTGATGGTGGAGGAAGTTTTAGAAGAAATAATAGAAAGACAAAATTTATTAAGAACTACAAAGGATAGGAAATTGTGGAAAGCCATAATTGTCAATTTCTTGAAGGGATACGACACATAGACATTCAGAAAAAGAAAAAAAAAACTAAAGAGAAAATTACACAGTAATCTCCCCTCCTTTAATTATTTGCCAATAACTTTAATATATATTACATCATTTAATCCCAAGTGAGGCGATAATGCCACTAAGATGAAAGTGGTTACTGGCAGTGAAAAAGAATGAGAAGACTAAGAAAAGTAACTGGAAACCCAATCCTATACAGAGAACAAGGGATATATATATATATATATATATATATATATATATATATATATATATATAAAGCTGCCAATCTAGTACTACACTTGAATTTGTAAAGTCAAGGTACAAAGAGGAAAGCTCATCAGAACAATTCCCATAAAAATGTTTATAGAAAAAGGCACAGAGAAGCTCCATTACATTGGTGAGAAAGTGATTGAAGCCAAGATTCTAGGTCAGGACTGATAACATTGCAGATTGTTTTTTTGATTATTTTCATTGGATTCTCTAAATACATAGCAGAAGGCATATTCAATGCATGGACGAATTATAAATGCATAAGATAGATTTGGGTGAGAATAATTATCTAGTACAACACCATGAACAGATTTTCCTAGCAGCAGACAACCTGCCTTAAAAGGTCTTATCTTCTAGAAATGCACTGATTATTTTTTGTTTAAAACACATTCAGAGTGTGTGTGTGTGTGTGTAGTAACATACCCAAGACTGAGGAGCCAACAATCAAGGTCAGAGCAATCAAAGCCTCATTCTGCATCAAATAGTGTTCTGAGGTTGCCATGGTGACTAGGTACTGGACTCCATCGGCTCGCACAATATTTTTCATTACTTCAGCATTCTTACTGTTTTTGATTATCCATGCAAGAAGTCTGGTTGCTTCTCCTGAAATAACAAACAAAAATAAACATAAGAAAAGATTTTCTTTAATCTTAATAAATCTCCTCAAAACTGAATATGAACATAACAAGGTAAAAAATGGTAAGCTATATTCTAATTTGGACTTTGTTAAATTCTCAAAAGTATACAAGACTTTTGTTTGGACTTGTTAGACTTGTTAATAGAAACATGTATTTAAAGTCAACATTTTCCTTCATTGGACATTATAGATTAGTGCTACAAAATCACAACCAAAGATCTTTACCAAATAAGAAAAACCACATCACTTGAACACTTCTAAAACTTAAGAATGATAAAGCTTTCAGATGAATAGTCTGTCATTGTCTGTTATATTTTGTTCAGTCATTAAGTGAAATTCCACTTATGAGTTTTGAAGCAGTTCATTGCAATTTAAATAATGTTTCAAGATAAAGAAAACATTTTTTTAAAAAAAGCCCCCTCCACCATTTGGGTTTGATTCATTCATTCATTTTCTATGGTTTATCAACCTTTTGCAGGTTATTTAAAACCAGAAAATATTTTTAGATTGTGAGAACATTTTTTTTTTTAGATAATGATTTAGTGATACAAGTTTTACTAATTAACCCATAGTTAGGGGGAAGAGGAGGTAGATTCATACTTCATCAGAATTTGATAAAAAAAGAAAAAGAAATTATAATGTAGATATAAAGTATCAATTCTATATTACAATTAATATAGGAACTGATCCTTCACTTTGTGGTCACAATAGTTTCTGTACATTTATACTACAGAGAATGTAAATAAATCTAAAATACATGTCTGTGTAGCTAATCAATATTTCCCCGATTGATTCATTTTATATGTTTGCAGGTTATTTAAAGCCAGAAAATATTTTTAGATTCTAAATTTTTTTTTAGATAAAAATTGGTTTAAGGATACAAGTTTTACTAATTTATCAATGGTATTCGTGCATAAGTGAATATAATGAATTCAACTGAAACTGGAATTTTGCTCAACAATTAACAATTCTGAGCCAGTTTCCATTAAACCACCTGCACATCCATGCTTGCAGCACCTGGTTTTCGTATGCAGTCACCCATCTAGGTACCGACCAGGCTCAACATTGCTTAACTTTCAGTGATTGTATGGGAACCAGTAGTTTCAATGTGATACCATCATAAGCCCTTGGGTTCATCTGTCCAAAGTCAAACAAGTATCTGAAACAGAATACCAAGCCTTGATTTAGCAAATCTGAAATATTTAGATTCAAGAAAGCAGCTATATATATATATATATATATATATATATAACCAGGCCTAATATTGTTGTAGTTTTCTAAAATCTTGAAAATCATTGATACTTATTTATAAATGCAGTCATTTTGGTTTGGATATGATAAATAAAATAAATATTTCACTTCAAGAAAATATCAATTTTTTTCATTTATTATATCTTTTTTTTACATATCTTTTTATTTTTATTCATGTCCCATTAATATCAGAGTAAATAAAACAAATTACTTTCCCTAACATAGAAAAAGTCTTTTAAGAATCAGAACCAATTCCAAAATATTGTTAATATTTGCTTTATTAGAATGTGACACTATTAAAGTGTCACTATTAGTAGTTGGGAGGAATGTGACATAGGATTAAGAAAATTGACGCTCAACTTCTCGAGAGCACCTCTTTGTGACTACTTGGTCTCACATTGACTGCTGACCTGAGATGGAACAAATACATTGAGTCAATAGCTTTGTCCACCGCAAGGAAAGTTGGCACCCTGTGCAATGCCAGGAAATTTTTCTTGCTGGAGACAATTCTTCAAATCTACAAATCAACCATTCACCCCTTGCATGGAGTATTGCTGCTATATATGGTCTGGAGCCCCTTCTGTTTGTCTCAAGGTTCTTGATAAAATCCAGAGACAGATATGCAATGTAATTGGCCCTGATCTAGCATCTCGTCTGCAGTTGCTCTCTCACAGATGTGCCGTTGCCTCCCTCTGTCATTTTTACAAATACTTTCATAACTGCTTCAATGAGCTGCTTTTGCTGGTTCCTAGACTTCATGAATTCTACTAGGCTGGCATCTCGCTCTCACCCTTTCACTGTCGAAACTGTTAAATGTAGCCATCTCTTCTACTCCAATAGCTTCATGTCTCACACCTCTCGCCTGTGGAACTCCCTCTCCTTTTTCTTGTTTCCCCTGATAGCTATAATCTCCAACTATTCAAATTTAATGCCAATCAATGTCTCCAGATGCCCTGATCTATCCCCTATCCTTCTCTTCATCCTTTCCTCTATCACTCCTATTTGATCTCGCTCCAACTCTCTGTAACCCCTTGCATGCTTGCTTGGGGTGAAAAAAAAAAAAAAGAGGTTCATGTGAGAACCTCAGATAGAATTGAAGCATTAGAAACATTGTGATATGAGGTTGGGAAAATAATTTTGAAGCATGATTTTCTTGACAGTGCAGAAAATTATTTTGAAAACCAAAATATAAAACAATGGGATTTGAAATCGGTTGTTTTGGAAAATAAGATTTCATAGTTATTTGTTAAACATGGATAAATTCCCTTTTTAGCCAATTTGAAATTGTTTTTGGTTTGATCGATACAGGCAATATTTGGGTTGTTTGGAAATGTAAACAATTGGTGATTGTTTTGAAAATGGACAAAAGAATTTGTTGAGATGAAGAAATTATTGCTTGGAGAAAGGGAAGGATTTCTAAAAGCAGAGCAAATTCTTTGCTGATGTGGAATAAATTTTTATATACAAAAATTAATTTGTAAACAATAATTGTGGAGTAACAAAGGAATGTAAAAACAAAGTTATATTGTTTTAAATAGTTGACCCATTATCAAGAGTCAAACGTTGTCAATGCAAGGTCGACGAAAATGAATATTAATGAATCTGGAGGTGTGGTCAGAGTTATGCATATAAACTGTATAAACTGAGAGAGATTTGGAGTGAAGAGTTGGAACAAAATTTTGTTGTGTTTTAAGTGAATTTCAAAGACAATACTAAGATATTCGTACTGTAGAAGAGAAGACAACTTACCTTGTGTGGCAAAGTGAGCATGTATATGCCTAGCGTGCAAAATGAGTGAAGGAAGGGAAAGAGAAATATGGCTGCCATGACACCTTAATTTAAGAAAGACATGGTCTCAGAGCTAGGAGAATTTGTGAGAGTGGTTGAGTGTATGCATATTTTTTTTTGCAAGATCAGTTGGGCATAAAAACACGACATGAGAGAGAATAGACAGTTCGCTCTTGAACATAGTGCAGCTTGTACGGAGAGAATTTGTCAGTTGGAAAGAGATTACTTGAGTCAGTTTCACACACATACATAGATTTATTCAACCACATATGTGCCATTTTGTTCTACTTTTGTTGTCTTTGAGGCAGCTTCATGATTCCATCCTCCCAGAACTTGGAATGTTTCTCAGTTATAAACTGATCTAAGTGGCTTTTGCAGGCTTCCAGATAGTGGAGCTCTTTTCCATTAAGAGAATTTTGAAGGGATTGAAATAAATGGTAATCCAACCATTAAGAGAATTTTGAAGGGATTGAAATAAATGGTAATCCAAAGGTGCAAAGTCAGATGTATTAGGGCCTTCCAACCAAGCTGTATGAATTTCTGCCAGGTCTGCAAAGAGATGTGAAGTCTGGCATTGTCCTGACAAAAGATGATGACACCTTTCCAATTGGCCGACTCCAGACACTTTTCATTGATTGCTACCTTTAATCAGTCCAAGTAGGAATAGTACTTGTGTGAATCCAACATCTAATTTTGAAGAAAATGCTTGTAATACACTAAACACTTCCAATATATTTAGTCTGGAAGGAGTTAACTAGTCAGGAATATATCTTAATTTGGTTTTAATTACCTCTACTGTAGATGGCACCTGCTGTAGATTAAAAAAATAGATGCTATATGACCTGAGATAACCTGTTGATCTAATTCAGAATACATTGACATATTGAATGGTCAAGTTGGAGTCAATATCAAATGCAATTTTGGTTAGAGTCAAGAGTCTCTAAAAATGTAAAGATAATGATTCAATCTTTAGAATAAAACATTTTGATAATATAACAATAGAAAAACCAAGAAAAGTATGGTATGATCTCTGAAATTGATCAAACAAAGAAAGAAGGAATAGGAGAGAGTAACTGGATGATAATCATTGAAATTGCAGGAATATGGATCGAGGAATTGAGAAGGAAATTATAAATGAAATGTGTTGAAAAAAAATCATGTTTTGAGATAAATCCAAGGAGAATTGAACCCAGATTTAATTAAATGAAATTCAGTAAGATTGATCAGACCTGAGACTGCCTGTCCTCCTCCCACTGATAAAAAAGAAACTGCTAAGGTTTTTGCAAAGATGTCAGATTAAATAAAAACATTTTTCGAATCAACAATCCAGAAGAAAAAAATAATCTCGGCAACATTTGTCCAGAGAAAATTTTGTGTCCAGAAATTAAATCAGATTCCCTTGGATGCAGGTAGTAAGGAAAAATGTAATTACTATTTTGAAATGGCCATTAGCAGGAAGGCCATGTGATCTAGCCAACTGTAACACAAGAGAAAAGATAAACTTTCATTTTAAGGAGAGCGGAAATAGGTTTTTCTTTCTTCAATTCTTGAGTGATTTGGTCTATTGAAAGGATTCCAGCATGGGGCAAGCTGATAGACAAGAACTAATGAATGAAAATCCCTTTAGTCTTCTACTGCATCATCTAGAATTTGGAATTATCACTCTAGCCCCAGGAAGCTGAGCTGAGGTTGACTTTTAAGAAAGTGGGAGACAGATGAGAAGAAGAAAGTGAGAAAAGAAGAAAGAGAAAGGGAAAGAGGGATTAACCCTGTCTATATAGAAGTGATGGTATGAGGCAAAGAGTAGGAGTTGGGGGGGGATTGGTTCAATTCATCTGACAACTTTCAAAAGGGGTCTGGAAAACCACTTGTGTATTCTTCCATATGGAAAAGGTTGATGCTGAGGGTAGAAGACAACTGAACCCAGGCCTTAATCAACCCCACCCCTGAGATAACAGGAGACACACACCAGAATCCACATTGTTTACTAAAACCTCCTAACCAAAGACCTTATGTCAGACATGTAGATGACAAGAACTTAAAAATTTCAGTTACTACTAAAACAAGCTGTAGGCACTGAAGGTGATCCCAGTGTCATTTGATTCTAACAGTAAGTTGGAAGAGTTAAAACCATTGTATACAACAAATCATATATAAACCAAATTGTTAACATTTCCAACCAGAGTTAATTTTTTATTCCAAAGGATTTTTGAGTTTTTGTGTAGCTTCCAAAGGTCAAACCATCTTTACTCCAAGTTTGCTTCATCAACAATCTTCTCACCCTCTGAGATCAAAAAGAGAAGTGAATGGTTGTGAACAGACAAACACAAGCTAAGTCGAGTGGAACCATGCCACCATCACAATACCAGCGACAAAACGAGTCATGCACTAATGAGTGAAGAGTCAGCTAATTGGTTACTGCTGTCTTGGGCTGACAACAGGGGTTCATATTTGGTTACTTCTGAAAAGGGTCAACACTGGGGATGTTGCACAGGTGCTCAATCTTAGAATTTATAAAATAGCTTGAAACAAAGTATTAAGCTTAGTATTGTTCCATAGAATGATAAATCTAATGTTTGTCTAATTCTTTGAATAATTTGAATGTCTATTCAAAGATGGATGAAGATAACAATCAAGCCAGCTGTTCAATACTGAAAGGGGGTAGATAGTGGAAATTATCCAAAATGTTAAGGAGTAGTGTATCAGCAAGTAACTAGGTCTGAGTTCAAGCCTTTAGCTGTATAAAACAGGGACTTATGTTCTCTCATAAAAAAGAGTGTTAAAAAAAAAAGCTGAAGTCATTTTTGTCTATCAACCAATGGAAACATATTGACTTCAATGTTAGCTTTATCAAGAAAAGTTGGCGGCAAAAACAATTTAAAAACAAATCATTATCTATTCACATTATGCTCATCTTTATTGCCATATTCACAATGTTTCAACCATTGTATGCTCTAACCTTCTTCAGGTGATATTAGTTGGAATTTTAGTCCATTTAGATATATGCCATGCCTTTGGATATCTCAGTTTCACTTAATTCCTTTTGGTAACTCAACTCTCCAAGTTTTTGTCCTCTTTGATGTGGTCAGCTATTGAACTCACAATGCTATGAATCAAATCATTTTTCGATCACTCAACCAATGCTTTTATCTGGGAGATGTGTCCTTGGGGACAATCTATCACCATGGACTAAATAAAAGGTTTGGTTTGAAATTCTAAGATCACCTGAGGAAAGCTAGTGTGTACAACTGCCAAAATGTTGTGAATATGGTAATAAAGATGAGGACAACTGTTCAAACAATGTAAATAGTGTAAATAGTTACAATACCTCATATCTTAGAAATGTAGAAAAATCATTATATCTTCTTCTGAAAGAATTATATTTTAAGGAACTCAAATACGATTAGTTTTTCAATTATGAAAGTCCTGTAATATCTTCAAAAAGAAAGTCATCAGCTTGTGATTATAGACTCACACTGGAATTTGATACGATTCAAGGTCAATGTGATCTGCTCAGTCAGTAATGAAAACTGGAAATACCACAAAAACATTTTTGTTTTTTTAAATAGCCAGAATTTGTGCAGTCACAGGATGGGATATTGTTATTAGTATGCAAAATAAATAAAAAGAATCCAGAAAATTTAAGCTCATAACTTAGGAATGCTGTCTTTAATTCCCAAAGCATTTGAAATGGTTGGCATTAAAACAGAATTCATAATTTTATATGTATATATATATATATATATATATATATATATATATATATATATATATATATAGTGGTACTGCTTGGAAAAACCTTGGTATTTCGGCTTGTAGCAGAACAAACCAATATCCAAGGAAAAATGAGGAATAAAAAAGAAAGAACATGAAATTGAGGTGAAAACAATCGTCCAGAGTTCAAGCTCGTTTTGGAGGTTTTTTTTTTTTGGGACTCTAAGAAAAAAAAACCCAAAACGAGTAAATGTAACTACATAAAGTGCTCAATATCCGAAGTAGAGCAAACCTAATATAAACCTAACGAGCCAGGTAAACCTACCTAGGTTTCACCTAAATGGATCGCCAGGGTTAAACTGGCCAAAGAGGAAAAAAATCAAACAGAATATATAGCTTAAACTAAAAACAACCATGACCACGTGACAACAAAAAAAAAAAACAAGTAAAACCAGTAAAAATTCAACAATGGGGTTATGTTCTTTATTCAACAACGAAAAGAAAAAAAGGAGGAGAAAAAAAAAACCTATTCTAATAACCAGCACTTCCTATGTCTACACCTAAGAATTTCCAATTTTAGATTTAATAAATTGGGTTCTTTATAGCTAGCAATAGCTATCTTTCCCTTCGTGCATAGGTAACATAATTTATCACCTGCTTTATACCTGTGACATTTTTTTAATATTTCCTATTTCAAAATGGGTTCTTTATTATCCTTTTGTTTGACCTTCCATAGAACAAGGTGGTACTGTGTTTGTAAGTTTTGCTATTGAAACTACTAAGATGGTTATAGTATCGTGTTTTGAAATTATTCTGGGTAGATCTTGTGTAAACCTTAGGGTTTTTATTGGTATTGTTCAGTTTATGCTTATATATTTTTACTTGGTAAACCACACACTCCTGTTGGCATTTGCCCTGGAGGGGGCAGGCTTCCTTATTCCTACAATTTTACTTAGGGGGGACGGTCCATGGTTTTTCTTTAATTTTTCTCCTATTATATCTATTAATTAAGCTGGTCATATTAGGCATACAGCTATAACTTAATTTGATGTAGTTTTTATTGAAGATTTTGTGCAACGTATTCGTTTTGGGGTTTTTTTTTCTTTGGACTCCGAGCTTGAACTCTGGACGATTGTTTTCATCTCAATTTCATGTTCTTTCTTTTTTATTCCTCATTTTTCCTTGGATATTGGTTTGTTCTACTACAAGCCGAAATACCCAAGATTTTTCCAAGCGAGTACCACTATTTATATAATTTTAGCTCTAGGTTACCCTGTTGAGCACTTTACAAAGTTAACCGTTATGGAACGAGTAGACGTAGGCTACTCATTTAAAAATATACCATTACCTGACCAACACTTATATGAATTAGTTTTACTGAAGAAAATAGAATCCTTCATAGCAAATATGAGATGGAAAGCATATTTCTTCATTAATAATAACCAGAATAGACATTGAAAGATTGAATCGTATGGTTTTAAAACCTATGACCACCCACCCCATACAAGACAATTTTGAGTCTGACTGAATTGGAGTAATTAAAAGAATACAGTACAGAAAGGTTACCAATAATATACAACAGCAAATTAGCAAAGATCTGGAGAATATAAAAAATAACAAAAAAGTTTTTGTTAAAGCTGACAAATCTAAGTTTTTTATACAAGATAAGCCTCGAGAAATATAACAATATGCTTAATAAAGAAATAATCAAGTATTATAAAAAAAGCCCCCGCTAATCTAGAAACTGAGCTGAATAAGGAGGCTTGTACATGAGTCAATAAGTTTAATTTAGAAAATAGAATTGAAAAAAATAGCGTAAAAAAATTGTTTCATAACAATTAAAGATCACAAAGACAACTTCCTAAATAATCCCGAATGCCGACTTATAAACTCTACTAAAACCCAATTGGGTAAGGTTAGCAAAATAATCTTGCAAGATATATGTGAATCATTAAGAACATTCTTAAACATTAACCAATGTTGTTCCGCCTATGATTGTATCAAATGGTTTAAGAGTTATGATAAAAATAACAAATGTTCTTTCATAAAATACAATATAAAAGAATTCTACCCATCAATTACTGAAAAAACCGTTAATGAAGCCTTGCTGTTAACTAAAGAATATATACCGATTTCTACCAATAAAATTAATATATATGTGCGTGTGTGTGATATACATATATGTGTGTGAGTGTGTGCAAGATATGTGTGTGTTTGATTTTATATATATATATATATATATATATATATATATATAAAAGAAATATGTTGTAGTGGTTCCAACGAGAGAAAAGTATGTATATTAAAAAGAAGAGGGGGGTGCATAAACGTTTTTTGGTTGTAATGTGGATTAATTGAGAAAAAATATTATACTTTGTTTTACATAATTTCACGACACGTGTTTCTGGTTGTTTTACATAATTTCACGACACGTGTTGGCAATCCGAAATTTCTTTCTAGAAAGAAAATTCGGATTGCCAACACCTAAACAGAATGTCTCATATCGAGAATATTCCACATTGAACATGAAGAAAAAATTAATTATTTTTAATAATATGTAAAAATCTCCACTTTCACCTGAAGACGGTTGCGAGACCAGACCAGAAACACGTGTCGTGAAATTATGTAAAACAAAGTATAATATTTTTTCTCAATTAATCCACATTACAACCAAAAACGTTTTATGCACCCCTCTTTTTCTTTTTTATATATATATATATATATATATATATATATATATATAACACAAAAGAAAAACTTAGCTGATGCATTTTGTCCTCTGAGGGACCTTATCAAGGCAAATGTGAGGATTTTATTTTCTAACAGATATTTATATACAAAAGCAAAAATATTATTGGTTTGCCAAAATTTTTAACTATAGGAATCCTCATAAATATTCATCAGGACATGGTACCAAGATTTTAGGATAATACTGAAGAGGACAATTGATATTAAAAACACAAAAATTCGACTCACCTTTAACACCGGCATGCTCTTCAACTCCACACCATTCTACCAGTCGAGAAATGAATTCTTTGTCTCGTCCAAGTACTTTTGCTGTTTCATCTAAGGAGGGAATAGAAATTAAATGAAGAGATTGACATTTTATGAATGTTGCTTCAAATGAAATTTTATGAGACGTGGATAAATAAGATCTTTGAAAAACATTATCAATTTAGTTTTACATAAAAATTGTAACTTCCATTTTAGAAAAATATATACTTTCATCTCTTTTCCTCAAGTATTGTGGTTCTACAGAAGCATTCTAAGAATACCATGGACTGGACATGTGAGTAACAACAAAATTTAAAAAAAAAAATAGAAACAAAAAGGACATGAATACTTAGCATCAGAAAGAGGCAATTGAAATTTCTAGGACACAATGAGGAAAGGAGGGTTTAGAGAATTTGACACTCACAGGGCATACTGAAGGTAAAAAGAGACAGGGGAAAGCCGTGCATAACTTGCCTAATGAGCTTGTGTAAATGGTTGGCAGAACAGGGCTTGTGCAAATGGATGGTGGAACAAGGTTTAGGAGAGATAAGAGAAAGACAATATTTAGTAAGAGCTACAAAGGACAGGAAATCATGGAGAGCCATGATCGTCAGGGTACTGAAGGGACATGGCACGGAGAAGAAGAATTAAAAGAAGTCAAAAACTAAATTTTTTTTCTTAAATGTTTCATGTTTTTATTCTATCAGTTTTTAACTTAATACCATCACTAATATAATCACCGTGATTACTAACTAGTTGGGTCACTGATGATTCAGGTTACAAAACATTGAAGTTGATTTCAACATTCCATTTAGATGAAAGTTAATTTTATTATGATTCAGTCAAATATTTCATATTTGTGTCATCATTGGTCTGGTTTACAAGTTCGTGTTTAGCATTTTACGGATTGTTTACACAATTTAATAATAAAACTTCCGAGAAAAACTTGAAATTTAAATCAGATTAACTTGAAAATATTTTTTTAATATGCCAAAAAATAATTTTAAATCATATTCACTTGAAAATATTTTTTTTTAAATATGCCAAAAAAATGTTTTTCTTTAAATACTGCTTGTTTAAAGAAAGCTGAAATATAAATAATTAATCTACAAACAACTGGATGAAACAGCAAAGCGGGATCTCTTTGTGTCTGTCTTTAACTTAAAATATTTTAATTAAAAAAATTGTCTATCTGAATTAGAGATTTTCCAAGTGTAGCTTAGATGCAGCACAAGGCCAAAAGTATGGGGCATCCAGTGAGGATCAAACTCACTTTTCAGTAGTAACTGATCTAGCAAGACAAGCTTGCTAACCACTACACCACGCCGAGGTGCCCCTTGTCTGTCTGAAGTAAGTTAAAATAAAAATACATACTGTATAAACAACTTGTAAATCATTATGTGTCAGACAGACACACCAGACAAGCACACAAAATAACTGACTTTTAGTATTATATAGATGATAATAATAATAATAATACAGCATAAAAATAAACTCACTGAGGCATTAATAAAATAAGTAGAATATATGTTTCAAGGAAAACTTGAATAACTTATATGAATTTAATATTAAAGGAAAAGAAATTACATAATATTTTATCATATGATGAATGCTATGAACATATTACAGGGTGTGATGGATAAATTATCATCTAAATTAAACAAAAATGAAAATAATGTTGACATCTCATTTTAACATATATATTTACCAAAATTACACAAAAACATCTTGAAATACTAAAGAATAAATTTATTCAATAAAATCGCCATTGGCTTCAACCATGGCCTCCAGATGACTTTGGAATCTCCTGCAACTCTTCTGGATGGTCTTTGTTTAAATTGGTGAATGCTGCCATAATCCTTGCCTTCAGTTCATCTTTGGTATTACAAGGAGTTTTGTTGATCTCTCATTCAACTGTGCCCCATACATAATAATCAAGGGGCTTGCAGTCTGGAGAGTTAGGTGGCCAGATGTAAGTCATGATACAGCTGCAGAAATTGTCTAATAGCCATGACTAACTTCTACTGCTTGTGTGTCATGGTGCAGAGTCCTGTTGCCAGACATAGGTTCTTCCAGCCAGCAGCCACCTTCTTTGACCCAAGGCAGCACTGCCTCCACAAAGCACTTGATGTAGGCCTTTGTGTTGAGTCCGAGGCCCTCATCAACAAATTCAGTTCTTTTCTAATCAGAATGATCAGAGTGAGTTTTCCAAGTTGATGTACCCTTGTAATCACTATTAGATTCATCCAACTCTTTCCAAATCCCCTACACTCTCCTCAGATTGACATCCAAACACTCTAAAATATTCGTATTGGAGCTTCAGGTGTGAATGCCAAGCAGAACAGCATGTTGTTTTCAAATTTCTGGCAGAGTGAATTGTATCAAGATGTTCTTTTTCTCACAGATGGTACCCAACTAACCCTACTATATTGTGCAGTTGACAAAACCAAAAACAAACAATGCACATGCACAAAATTAAAAATATAAAATGGCGACAATTTACCCATCGCACCCTGTATATGTGCCAGATGCATGCCAACAAATTTTGATTATAAGAAACAAATATATCTGTCTATATTTCTGAGATGAGGTATTATGTACACTATTTACATTATTGGGACTATTTTCCTCATCTTTGTCGCCATATTTATTATAACGTTTCAGCCTTTCAGTATCTGTCTATATTTCTGAGATGAGGTATTACGTACACTATTTACATTATTCGGACCATTGTCCTCATCTTTGTTGCCATATTTATTATGTTTTGGCCATTGTACACTCCAGCCTTCTTCAGGTGGTTGAAATGTTATGATAAATAGAGAGACAAAGATGAGGACAATAGTCCAAATAATGTAAATAGTGAAACAAATGTAATATGTAATTTGATTTTGAAAAATATCCTTTAGGAATCATAATTTCATTATTTTGAAACTACAAGAACTTTCCTTCCAACAATATATTTGAAATATATGATTAATACAAATATTAAATTTGTCACCTAGCTGATTGATGTTATATCCAGCACCTCAACACCATAGTTTTGTAAACAAACCTTTTTGTAATCATTCAGTCCACTTGACCGGAGGTATATGCGTGTGTGATACAATGGAGGTGTACACTTCATGAAGGCACCAAGATATTCCAAGAACATCCAATAGGTTGGGCAAAAGTCAAGTGAACAACTAGGAAAGGGGAAATCATTGATCCAGCAATTCATCAAGTTACATGTGATGAATGTGGTAGAGAATATCTCTCCAATTCAGGCCTTGTTAGACCCAAGAAGAGTTATATTTGTAGACCTTTCACAAATTATCTGGAAATAACATACAGGGTGTGTCAGAAAACCTGCAGAAACCGTACTAGTCTCAGCCATCATATAAAACCCCATGAGCAAACAAAACTAAACAGGCCAGGACCTGTACAAACAATTTAGTTTATCATTCTCATGAGAACCAAAAACATTGATCAAACTTGTCAGTGATGGTCATACTCATTTAATGAGTTGACAGCCATTATATAAACATATTTGATTTAGTTCTGTTTTTTTTTTTGACTGTCTTCATCTTTCTTGTGTTAATAATTTTTGATCAATAAATTATTTTGTTTTCCTGTATTATCTGAAGATATGAGAAAGTGTTCTTTATTATTGCATATATTTTTTAGGCTATTATCTTCATCTTTGTTGTTTTAACACATTCTGACAAATATATTCTTCATATTTCTTCAGATATATGTTGCGTATATAAAACAGGTTTTAAACTCTTTGATGTTCATTTTTGTCACCTGAAATTAAATTTGATTAAACCATGATTAATGTGTTCATGGGCAATCATTGACAAATGGATGTGTGGGTGGTGTAATGGATAGCAGCTTTGAATGAGAAATTGAATATCCGAGTTCAAATTCCAGTCAAGTTCCTTACACTTACTCACATGCAAATACTCTTGGGGAAAGTTATGAATCCATCTCTTCTTCCCCAAAACTATGGATTAAATAGCAAGGCAGACTGGGCTCTTCAGCTGTGGTTGGCTACCAGTCTAGGAGAAGGATAACTTTGAATTCAAAACCATAACAATAGTCCATGGTCCCTAACACTTAGTAATAAGGATAGGAAGAAGAAAAAAAAACAACAAAAAAAACATTAATATGTTCCAATAGAGAGAAATCTTCAAAAAATAAATAATTATTATAGAAATATAGGATTCAACAAAAATTAGTTAATTATTACTTTTAATGAAAATATTACTTTTTATTTAAAATATAGTGGAAATATATTTGTTTTTGTTTAAAAAGGTCAAGTGGGTATTGAGTCAGTTTTCCTTCCTTTCATTTGTTCAAAGATTGTTTAAATTTACAAGAATGGAAATATTGTAAACATTTTTGCCACTGTTAGATTGATTGTTTTTTATGGCTTATCAACCCTTTGTGGGTAATTTAAAGTCAAAACACATTTTGGATTGTAAGAAAAATTTATTTTTGAAATTGAATAATGCATTAATAATTTTTAGGAGATAATGATTTTTCCAGATCAAGTCCTACTAATTAACCCATAGCTGGGGAGAGAAGAGATGGATTCATACCTTTCCCAAGAGTATTTGTATGTAAGTGAATGTAATGAACCTGACTGGAATTCAAACACAGCTCACCAATTTTGCATTCCAAGCCACTGCTTGGTTTAGTTCAATCATAGGATGAGTGCCGTTATCAAATGCTTACCCTGACCATCAATCAACATGCGCAGAGCACCCAGCAGTTTAAAAGTGACTGGCAAAATTGGTGTGGAAGCAAAATTAAGCAGCACTTCTATGGCCCCAGCCTTGTAGAGTTTGGATTTATTGGAAACTGAAACAAAAACAAAATATTACATATTAATAGTTGCATTAACAAAATAAAAAAAGGAATGAAAAAATAACTTTGTATTTGAATGCAATTAAATTATTAGTATTATGGTAATTCAGTCAGTTAAGTGCTATATGTGAAACACATGTAGGTGATTATGTCTCTTTTGATACAAGACTGACTAGGTAAAAGATTTTCCTGCAGTAGGTTGCCATTTCTTTCTATAGTAGACTGGTTGCCCATTCTGTCTTGCTATTTACCTATAGCTGGGAGGGGGGGAGTGAGAAAAGTTAGATTCATATCTTTTCTTGGGTATTAGTACATAAGTGAATGTAATGAACTTGACTGGAATTTGAAGTCAGCTCTCCGAATCTTCAATTCGAGCCACAATCCATTATTCTATTGTGCCTTCTTATGGTAATTACAATAAAATTAAGTACCATTATCTTAAAAACAATTGAACTAAGATTAAAAATAGCTCCTTGTTTATGTGTGTCTCATTAGCTTTGATTATCTAGAACGTTTTCATCACTTTTCAAACAATCTTCAGATGGCCATCAAGAAAGGAGACCATGCATACAAAAGTCAATTTAACCAGAACTTTCATTGTTATATTTTAAAAAATGTGAAAGGATTTAACTTTAGTTTCATCAGCTGATGTACTAATGATTATTGTTAAAAGAATTTTTGAACTGATTCAGTCTTTCTTATCAAATTGCAAAATGAAAGTTGTTTTGAATGGGCACTCTTCTAGATCATTTTGGATTAATGCAGGTGTTCCTCAGGACTAAATCTTTGGACATACACTACAATTCAAAAGTTAAGATCACACCTGGTAATTTTTTAAATTGCTCCAAAAAGTAGTTGTTTTGTACTTTAAATAAAAGAAAAGTATTATACATGGTTAAAAAAAAAAAGTGAGATATGAATTTTTATTAGAAATTTTATTATGACAAAAAAAAAAAAAAAAAAAAAAGAAGCATTTTAGGATTGAATTTTGCTCTCATCAAAATATCTTTCTTTAGTCTTAATTACTACAGCACAAATTTTAGCATTCGTTCCAAAAATTTCTCAAAGTTTGATAATTGATCCCATTCGTTTTTCAATGACTCTAAAAGCTCTTTTTCATTTTTTTTTTCACTCTTCTGTCAAGTTCATGGCTTCAAACTTTTGAACTGCAGTGTACATTGCTCAGAATTTTCATCAACAACCTTCCTGATGGCATCAGTTCTCAAATTGGTGTCTATGCTAATGATACTGTTAAAACAAGAATAAATGGTTGTAAGTCTGATCAGTTCAATAAGGTCAAATTGGCAGCTGATCTCAAAAATTATGTACAATCTGCTGTTAACTGGCACAAGGAATCTTACTTATTATAAAACGCAGATTGTGTGTGTGTGTGTGTGTGTCTGTAATATTTATATACTGGATCGGATTTCCTACATTTTTCAACCGATTTCAACAAAACTTCACAGGACTACATAAAATTACCTTGTGGTGGTTCTAACAGTGCCAAAAATGGGAAAAATATAATTGTTTTTGCACAAAATCAATTTGAAAACACGATTAAGAGACATCGTGAAAATGGAAGGGGGACAACTCACCGGTTTGTTTGTGTGTGTGGGTTACTTTAAATATGGGGAACGGATTTCCTATATTTTTTCAGCCGATAAAAAAAAACTTTTTTTTTTTTTTTTTTGGCAGGTAGTGTTTCTTATTCTCTGCACACTTTTTTTTCTTTATTTTTACATTCAGAATGCTTTAAAAATTCCATTTACAAGACAATTGTTTATAATAAAAATTCTATTCAATCAGTAGACTCATAACGATTGAAAACAATGTTTTTGTTTGAGTTTGGGTTTGACCAATTCGTAAAAAAAAAAAAAAAACTAATTAAGACATGCGTGTCCATCAACCTTAAACAATAATCTTTGTCAATTTTATTTTTCAGTCTTTATGATGGTGGATACTTGATCTATCTCTTACTGTTATATCCCCGGGCAACGCCAGGCTCTACTGCTAGTGGCTTATAATTTTAACACCTCCAAAATGAAACTGCTCTCTATCAATTATCTGAGAGGTTTCTTTCTGCCTTTAAACATGGCTAATGCTAACCTCCAGCATAGTGGCTCATTGCACCTTCTTGGGCTAACATTTTCCACAGACATTAAGTAGAAAGGGTATATTGAATCAGTTGCTAAGTCAGCTGCTAAAAATGTTGGTTCCCTCTGTTATGGTAGATAATTTTTCTCTCCAGAATCTTACATATTTATAAGTGTACTAGTGTACCATCATGCTTTGAAAATTGCTGCCACATGGCCTGCTGCTCCTACTACATATTTATAGATTCTTGATAAAATCCAAAGAAGAATCTGACATCTTGACTTCAATCAATTTCTCACCACTATAATGTAGCTTTCCTGTACCTTTTCTACAAATATTTACATAGTAATTGTTCTAACAATCTTTTCTCTAATTTACCTAGACTTTATGAATTTAAGCACAGTACTAGATTGGCAGCATCACTTTACAGTTGAAAACTGCTAGATGTAACCGTAAGTTTTATATTAACAGTTTCTTCTAGCACACTTCTCATTTGTGGAACTCTCTTCTGGCTTCTAGCTTTCAACTTTCAAAAATTAAAATGCATTGTCAATCATTATCATTATCTTCTTAATTCTTGTACTTTTATTTTCCTCTTTCCTTAATAGTAGTTTTTTTTATATTCTCTAACACTCAGTAACCCCTTGCATCCTAGTGGCTTTATTGCCTTGCTTAGGGTAAAATGATTAAAAGAAAAATCCCTGTACCAATCTAGTAAGTATCTAACTCTTCCTGCTAGCCTATACTTTTACAAGTGCTAGATCAAGCTGAAAATGGAGCCAGTTCAAGATACTGGAAACTCATAGGTAGGTGACCAGAGGAGTTACTAGCTGCCCAGCAGCCAGTGACAGAAGGACCGGTAGTGAGTAATCAGGAGTCATTGAGCCCAGAGACCAGTGAAGAAGGGACCAGCTGAAGTTAGGGAAAGAGCAGTTCAGCCGAAGGAAAAGATAGCTGGCTAAGTGAGAAATCGTATTGTTGTGAACTCTCAACCAGGGTCTTTAAAAACATTTGTCGTCATTATTACTATTTGTTGAACATGATCACAGCCGAGAAGACAAACCTGTGCACATAGTGAGTTGTGTGTATATGCAAATACAATCAACCTTGGATATCATCACAGGTGTAGTGAATGACAGATGATCAGAGAATGTTGTCACAAAAACAATTTAAAATTCTTTTTAAAATACTCATGACCTTTAAATTGTAATAAGCTTTTTGATTTATGATTAGTGAATATAATTTTACTTAACAATATTCCCTAAACTTTACACCATTAAAACTGAATTTTAAAAGATTTAAAACTTTATAAATTATTCTAATTAAAATTTTAAAAAAATAACAAATCTTGTAAAAATTCATTATTCATCAAAAAAATTTTTTTTTTCTTAAGACAAGTGTCCTTAATATATCTTATTAATAAAAGCAGTTAAAAGTTTTCTATCTAAATAATGTCTTAGTTTTATTGCATTTTTTATTTTACGGTTCAAAGATTTTTAGTAAGATGGGATTGATTTCACAAAAAAATTGATGATCTAAATTCTGCTTTTAACTAAAAAAAATTATCTTGTTGAAGTCCTGAAAGTTTCATTAAAATCTGATATTTATTTGATTATTGCAAGAATTTCCAAATCAATGTGTCTTTCACCACAAAAAGACACTAAAATTTGCTATGCTAATTTATAGTCTATCCAATGGTGTAAGAAAAACAAAATTTTTACCCAAAATTTCTAATGTTTTAAACAGGATTCAAAAATATAATAATAATAAAATACTTTGGTAGTTTCTCTTAATAATAACAAAGATTTTAACAATAAAACTTCATTTTTATAAAGTTTGGGGCATTTATTCATCATCCTTTTCTTAGTGGAGGTACTTTATGTGTGTTTGTATTATATATATATATATATATATATATATATATATATATATATATATATATATACACACACACACACACACACAGACTGTCAAGAAAAATGTTGAGTGCAAAATTTGTATTTAATCCAGGTTTTTGTTGACTTGTCTTAAAGATATTTGACACTGTGAATAGGCAGGTTTTAGTAGATGTTTTCCTTAAGTTGGGATGTTCTGCACACTTTGTCATCCTGGTGAAAGCATTTCATAATGACATGTAAGCTTGTGTAAATATAGGAGGCATCTTTACTGAATCAAGGTCAAAATTGGTGTCAAGCAGGGAGATATTTTAGATCAATATTTTTTTTTTTTAGATTTTTCTCTGTGCTCTTGGCAAATGCATTTAAGGATTGCAACCATTGCATTTATGTGCAACAGGCAAAATTATTCAACCTCAGGCAGTTTGCTGTTAAAACAAAGACTTTCACACCTTTAACAAGAGATTCACTTTATGCTAATTTTTTTTTCAATGATGTTCACTCTGTACAAGGCTCAAGAGCCACTCAATGTAGAGGGTTACAAAGTAACAGAGGCAGAGTTTATAGGGATATTTGGGGAAGATAATGGTTAACCCTAGACAGGTTAAGATTGTAATGATCAGGGAAGCATCCTCTTGGAAGTTGGTTCCACAAGGCAGTGATTCATTGGAAGAAGATATTTGAGTGGAACTTAACATCTCACTAATGGAATATAAATGGAATTAGGGTGGTTTGTTACAGTGTGCATGGTATGGTGGGCCTTAGCCATGAAGGTTAGAACTAGACGAACTAAAAAATGTAGTTCGTCTGAACAGTTTCTATGGAAATAGTAATAGAGCAGCAAGAGGCTTGTGATGTGTCATCTGTGGGGAAAGGGGTTGTAGAGTGGAAAATAAGG